TCTCATCCCCATCGAGGAGGAGCTGACGGTGCCTTTCGACCTTCACCGCACCATCATCGGACCGCGCGGTGCCAATGTGCGCCAGTTCATGTCTAAACACGATGTGCACGTAGAGCTGCCGCCCAGCGAGCTCAAGTCGGATGTGATCAAGGTCTCTGGAACGCCCGCCCACGTGGCCGAGGCCCGCGAGGCGCTGGAGAAGATGATCGAGGATTATGAGGCCGATCGGGCCGACCGTGAGCTGCGCTCCTATGTTCTCCAATTGGACGTTGATACGGAGTACCACTCGAAGCTCATTGGTCGCCATGGCGCTGTGATTAACAAGCTGCGCGCCGATCACGACGTCAACATTTCGCTGCCCAAGCGCGACGATCCCAATCAGCGCATCATCTCCATCACCGGCTACCAGGCTAAGGCCGAGGCTGCTCGCGATGCCATCCTGGAAATCGTCGGAGACCTCCAGACCCTCTATCGCGAGGTCATCGAAATCGATACACGCATTCACTCCCACATTATCGGCCATCGCGGACGCACTATTCGCAAGGTCATCGAAGATTACAAGGTGGGTTTCTAATGTATGGAATTAAGAAATTAATTGGAGGCTTTTAATTTTCTTTTAAACTGAAAAACAACTAGAAAACTTTTTGGTTTTCCATGTATTATTTCTTTCTAACAAGTTTTTTCTTTCACAACCAGGTGGACATTAAGTTCCCCTCTTCCGACGAAGCTCAAAGCAACCCCAATGCCGTGACCATCATTGGCAAGGAGGAGGACGTTGAGAACGCCAAGGAGGTGCTGCTTGGCATGGCCGAGGACTACGAGCGTGACTTCTTGGAGAACTTGCCGCCATCGCCGCAGCCCCAGACGGTCGGTGCCTTCCTTTCTGGATCGGGATCTGGATCCGGCGCTGGAGGTGCCAGCGAGAACGGTTTCGTCATCAAGGACGCGCCGTGGGAGAAGCAGAAGCAGGCCAAGAACCTGACTGCGCCCAACACTCAGTCGCAGGAGGATTTCCCGCACTTCGCTGCTAGCGGGGCTCCAGTGGCCACGCCCATCACTTCCGTGTGGGGCCCCAAAAACTAAGGGTATCGGGCCGAGTGTCCCGATCGCCAGCAGTAGCAGCAATACTACACGTCGGGGTGCGCCGGGGATCGGAGCTGGAGATGGAGATGGAGCTGGAACTGGAAATGGAACTGGATAATCGGACAGTGAGCGGCAGAGCAGTGACAGTCGTGCGGACGTCTCTTTAGTCGAAAACTAGTGTCAAAAACATAAGAAAACGGTATAGGTTGTCTCCCAGGAGCTTTTCTACAACGCAATTTGTGCAGGTTAATTGAAAACAAGAATGACATAACAAGCAACTATTTTTGTATGATTTGATACAGGATCAATCAACACACACAAATATCCCACTCACACACAACGACACATACACGCTCACACACATGAAATTGCATTTATACAAGATATATAGAATACGAGAATCGAAACAGACAACTGACTCACGCCCCCAGTTCCGTTCCCCGATGTGTTGGCTAAACCCCGGCCACTTTATACATACAACACTTAATTGCCAATTTCTTTTTATATAACCATTCTTCATTGCAACACATAATATTCTAATTAGTTGAAGCTCCCTAAAAGTAAGCAGAAAGTTCAGCAAAATGGTTTGTTAATTGAATTGAAACTGACTAGCGAAACGCGTTCAAGAACGAAAGTAATTGTAAGCATAAAATGTTAATTATTTACATTTACTCCGCTGCTCCCAATCTAATTTTGATCCCCCCGTTTTGATTATACCATACTCAGATCTTTCGTTTTCGGAATTTCCATTTCCCCTTTCCCAATTAAGTGATTATTATGATTTATGCGAAAGTAAATGTTAAATGAACGTTGATTGTATTGTAAAAACGTTTCTTACGTTGCGGGGCAAGAGTGGAAGTGGAGATAGCAATTTATTTGAACAGCAAATATACACCTTACTTATACATTAATTAACCCCTGTTTTCGGCACGTCTGCTCCTGCTCCCAAATCCTCCAGCGTTATCCTTTATACACAGCCATGATACCGAACCCGAAACACAAAAACACACACCACACCAACCCTATTCACATTTCAAAATGAGTACCAACATTTTAATTTTGTGCAATCCCCTTGATTTATATTAAATTGTTTTCGACTTATGTTTTCCACTTAACTAACTTCGTATGCGACGCGGTGTGGATTGTCTAAAAAAAAGATTTGGAACTCTTCCAGTACTTTGTACGAGTATCGGGTGTTGGTTTTTCAGTTTTCTCGACTCTACACCGCGCAATATCTGACAGTTGAAACACAAAGTATGAGAAAAATTTTTAATTTTTTACTATTACTATTCAATAAAAACAAAAAACCATATAAAACCAATAAAAAACGTAAACAAATCGTATCTTTTAACTATGTTTATTTCTTCTGTTTCACTTTCGTTTTGTATTTGGATTGCTTCTGCTTCAAAAAAACCAAAAGATAACACCAAGAATAACAGACCTGATATTGTAAATTTTTAAAAATATACATACATATTTACAACAACTGCATTAGTAATTCTAAGAACGTAGAGAATACAAACGATATAAAATGTATATATTTTCCTATATTAACGGACAAAATCAAATGTACGAGACGAACGCCAAAAGGCATTTTCTGACTGCAAAGTCAGATATTTTCACTCACGATTATTGATTTTTTACTATTATTTCCAAACCAGATATAGCAGATACAACCGTATGTCTAATTTCTTTTGAAATACAAAAGTTTTAAACCGAAACTTTTCTGTTTAAATTAAGGAGTGATCTGGCAGCTCTGCCAAGTGGTAGTACAGAGGCAATAGTTTTTGTAACTCAGCGGCAACAAGTAGGGTTGCGGAACTATCGATATGGAAGTGGTGTGGTTTTTGGTTTTAATTATGAAGAAATATAAAATTGTGTATTATACTGCTTAGTTTTAATATTTCTTTTTTAAATTTGTACTAGTTAATTGTAGTTAATTACTCAAAAACCATTACTCAAAGTGCTCTAGGGATGGAACTTTCAGTTGAAAGCTCCTATCGATAGTGGCATCTCTTCGATTTGGTTAAGTTGACATCGATAGCCCAAAAGGGAAACACAAAATTATTTTCAACTTAAAATTTTGGCGAGAAGTGCTTGCAGTTCGCTTGGAATTAATTTACAAAATAGCCGCCGACCTCAGGAGACATCGCCGCAATGGAGGACCGTAAGTGTGTGGCAAATGCAGCCAGTGCAATCGTTGCAATTTACATGCCGATGCACATGATTCGTGGGTTTCTTGTGACCAGGCCATTGGGACACCTTGCACCTTTGGCACTTAGGGACTATTTTCGTAGGACGCCGATTTAGCGGCTTTGCAAATAGTTCGGGGGGTCAGAATAAACAATGGGTTGGCCTTGGAACCGCTGGAAACGGCGGATGAGTCATGTTTCTCATTTGGGTAGGGTGAAAGGCTTTCCAACCGCTCGGAAACTCGTGGGAGTCGTTCGACATGTCGCGATGGGGAATATATTTAGAAGATGGGGGTGGTGGACTGTGGCATTTGAGACGCTGGTGTAAACATTGCATTTTATTCTGACGCCTCAGTATACGTGGCTGCAAAAAGCGCAACTTCCGATAATATGCGTATCACCCAGAAACGCCTCCTCCAACCGGGTGTATCACCATATTGAGGCTTTAATTGTCCGGAGCTCTGTTTCCACACTGAACCGCTCAATAATTGCTCATTGTTTCCACTTGTTGAGCGTTCGATTGGATTGAGCCTGCCACAACAACATCTTGCAGAAAACCAGACCCAACTCCTATACATATATACTATGTAGGGCCTATCAATGTGGCACAGTTGCTTTGTGTTCGTACAGTAGATAATCGGTCTGAGGAAAAATTCAGAAAAAAATCTAAACTAGTAATTACCATTTAGCAAGAAGCCGAAATTATAAAGTCTCTGTTACATTCCATTATTTTCCTTAACAAACCATTGCAGTTATGTACAGTAAGCATTGATTAACGTTAACAGCGAAAGGTTTTCAGATCTTATCTCCCGAGTATTTTTATGTTTATTGATTTATAAGAACAAAGATCTAATCTAATTGCAATTGGTAATTAAAATTTAAGCGAACATTGAAAGTTATTTACAGTAAATTCTAGGTAAAGGAAACTTTGCAAAAGAGGACAATAAAGGGAGTACAAAAGTGGATATTTAGCAAAAAAAAACAAAAGAACGATAAGAAAGTAAATACTTTTTAATACAAACTAATCCACAAATGACGCATTTTATGTTCTTAAATGTTTTATTAATGGCTCAACCGATAATTTAAGTTATCTTATTCGAAGTTCTTAAGTTGGCAAAAAAACAAAAATAATTTACGGTCCTTAAAATATTTGTTCCTTTTATCAAATTAAATAAACCACTTTTTTGATTAAGAAGTTTTTATTTTGTTAATTGTTTATCATTTTCTATAACGAGCTTAATGAAATTACTTTCCTAATTGGTTTAAATATTAATCCCAAAAGTAGTATATTTGTATAGCTTTTGCAAAAAATCCCGGAGATCAACTATAGATTGCAAACGTCAGAGTTTATCGTAGTATTTTTGTAGCTTTTGAATATGAGGAGATAAAATTATAATTGCGGTTGCCATTAATTGGATATTTATCTATAGTTTCTTATCAAATTTTCCATGAATAGATACAATTTATAAAAGTAAAGTTTTTTCTTTTTTTACTTAACGAAATAGGGAAAATATAACATATTTAGATTTAAAGCTTTTCTCATACCGTGACCCCCAATCGATGTTTACTGTAGTCTTGGTAGTTGCTGGTGCTGGCTGTTGATGCCCCTTTTTGTTTGCGCTCTTTTTGTGGCGTTTCTCGTCTTTCGTGCTGACACGAATCATCAGCAAGCGGAGCCAAACAGCCAACCAATCCACATCTACCAATTTCTAAGCCGAGATCGAGTCAGTTGGCTGTTAGCAGTAGGAGAGCGTGGAAGCAGGCCCAGAACCGAAACAGAAACTGAAAAAGAAATACACAAAACCAGCTGCGATCGCATGGGGAGAAGGGGAATTTATGTGGAACTCGGAGGGGCAAGAACTGAAAGCTCAGCAAAGAACCACCAAAGTGGCTATAAGCAGGGCGAGGAAAATGTGCTCAGAGCTGGAAGTGGAAACGTGATACCCGCTTAGGATTCGGTCAAGACCACATGCTCCTCCTGCGCCAGCTGCCACGTTAAAAATAGAAAGTGATTTCTGCTGCTGCTGCTGCTTCTGCTGCCAAAGATGAAACAAACCGCCGCCACTGCCGCAGAATGAGCGAATCGGAACCCAATAGCCTGGAGTTCATTGAGGACTCGTACCTACCAGGCATCGATGATCTCACCAGCACACCTTCTCTGGATCTGGAAGCTAATGATGCCACCTTAGATTGGTATGGAGATGGAGAGGAGGAGAGTGAAGCGGAGCTGTATCTGCGGAATCTGACTCTGGATCAGATATTCTACGATGTGGATTCGGACTACACCAACAGCCTGGAGCTGCAGGCAGTGGAGGCTGAGTTCATTGGCGCCAAGTTGGCCAATCAGGCGCCCTCCTCCTCCATGGCCAAACGTTTCCGCCTGAAGTTCTTTGCCAAGCGAACCATGCGCGACGTTAAGGTCACGTTCATAGACTTCTCCAAACCATATCTGGCCAAGATATCGAACAGTGATAACTACAAGAGATTTCTCAACATTGGGCATAGAAGTAGAGGTACCAGTTTTAGGGTTTAGGTCAGGGGCTTTGTTCTGGGTCTGTCACACATTTTCCTTTCCACTTTCAACCATGACTAACCCGACTAACCTATCTGTCTCTCTATCTCTTTCGGCTGCCTTTCGCCTCGACAGTTTGTGAGTATTATAACCAAAACCCAGATTTAACCAATTAACCAACTCATGTCTTTGCAAATTGTACATAAACAAACCAAATTCGGTGTACTCAGCCTATGACAAAGTCTTTGAGGAAGTTGCTTTCAAAGGAGGTACATAATCACTGCCCGCAGACAACATTCAAATTAAGCTACAGTCCCTTCCCTCACTCACAGCACCCGATTTTTGATTTCCCATGAAATGTCCATACTTAATGGTTTCCTTTTTCGTGCCCAGATAATACAGCCAACCTGTCGGAGCCAGCATCTCCAGCAGCTTCTGTGGCATCCGCAGAAATTGCCGCCGAGTTTGCTGCGCTTTCCGTGGAGGAGAAGGAACAGCGCCGGGCCGAGTGGAGTCAGGTGAGGAAATATATTAATAGGGATATCCTGAAGAATGAAATTTTTTATAAGAGAATTGAGTTAAATGATTGAACAAAATGTGATCAGTTTTATTGATTTTCTATTTTCTGTTCTCCATTTTTGTACTCTTTCTCAACTGTCCAACTCAACTGGCGCGCTTGTTGACTTGCACAGTTAGTTTACTTTGCTCATTAGTTTATTACATCATCCTGTTCATTAATTCATTTTGGTAAAAGTTCATTTCACGGCAAAAGATCAACAGAACATTTACACAAGTGAACAACTGAGCTAAGTGATTTCACTGAACTGATTTTTCGAATGTTTTATTAGTATATAAACCTATAAAGTGACTTAATAATAATTGTTTTAACACATAATGTTATGTTTTTCAGGAGCTGGCCCGCGTTGAGGAGGAGATTAACACGCTGCGTACCGTTCTCGCCTCGAAGACGCGCCATGCCTGCGATCTCAAGCGTAAACTGGGCATCACCGTCTGGAAGGAGGTTACGGACGACATGAACCAGGGCATTAAGAACCTCAAAGAGACCACTGTGTAAGTCTACATACTGGGGGTAAAACTGCTGCGTAATTAACTCTACTAGACAGTTTTAATTTCTAACCATGCTTTTTGTTTCAAAACTCATGTTAAAACGCTAAAACATGTATTTATTTAGTTACCAATCGGTGGAGCAGAGCGTGGGCACGTTTACTAAAGCCGTGCACGAGGCACCCCTGTAAGTAATTGGGTTGAGGTTAGCCTTTATTGGGGACTTCTGGAGTCCCCGGACTAACGCGGTGTTTCACGCTACTTCCCCTAACACAATAACCTACTCTCGCCTGTTTGTAACTAAAGCACATTTGTTGACCCACTTTTTGTGTTGCGATACACTCCTACTGGATGATTAACTAATGCTGGGATTGTTTGCCTTCTTCCATAGATACCAACGCACTGAGTCTGTGCTGAAGTCCACGGGCGAGAAGACCGCCTCGGTGTTTGGCAGCATCACCAGTGGCATTTCGTCGAAACTGTCGCAAATGAAAAACTCCGAGTCGATGCGTTCTATCGAGGCTTCGGTGGGCTCTGCCTACGAGAACGTTAAAGTAAGCTATGAACACAACAATTTTATGTGCCAATCTCATGCGGTAACTACTATTTTATTATATATCTGTCTTTATACATCTCTCATACTGTTGCAATTCGTTTTGGTTCCCGTCTAACCGACCCAACACTAACCACACATTTTCTACACTTGCTCACCTACTCTGTACTCACTCTGAATTGGAATCCTTCGGTTTATTTGCTTGCTTACACAACGAACTTCTTGCGACACTGCTGCTGCACCTCTACTACAATCTGTTCGGTTTTCTGTTCCATTGTAGACCAAGGTGACATCCCGTTCGGGATCGGTTTCCAGTTTCCCAGACGCCCTGGACGAGAACAACACATCCTCGGGCCTGAACTCACCCACAGACTCACTCACTAAATAGATTTCGGGTGAACACCGAAGCTAAGCGCGTCGATAACGAGGAGAAACCTATGCTACACAAAAAAACCAGACCCACGCATCCACTCTATAACTTATTTAACTAATGCGAATTGTCGTGTTTGCGCACTAACAACTGGATCAGAATTTAATTACCTACAGATCATATGTACGTGTGTAGTCGTTGCGGTATACATAACTTGAATTAACTTAAATCTGTGCGTCATATTTGGCCGAAGGGAGCACATTATATGCATCTATTTGTATTTGCGTGTGAAACACCATCGAACTGCATGATTTGTTTTTAAACTTTTAGCCAAGGAGGGGCGTAGATTGAGGGGCTTGCTGCATTCATTTATATAACTAATCAGACTAAGCGTACGTTTTAGAGACTAAACCATATTGGGTGTCAACAAATCGTCATTCCCGAATGTTTCCGATATTTAGTAAACAAATTTAGCGAAAAAAACATTGCAGTTAAATTATATACATATACATACGTTTATTTTATATTTCTATTTCTTCTCTAGGCGTTGAGTTCCGTGGTTAGATGGCGGTCCCGATAAAAGCCAATTCCAAATTTATTTAGATCTATTATTCGAATAACGATCAGAGCTTGCGTGCAAAATAATAAAAATCCATTGGTAATTTTAAGAGGGTACAACCCGTACTGCTAACGAGAGAGAAAAGTCGCACCCGATTTGTTGCTAATGCTGATCTAAGATTTGCTATATGTGTATAAAATCTTTGAATAAATGCAAAATTGTTTGCCCCATAAAAATATATTTCAGTGTTTTTACTTAATATTAATAATTGTGATTACCTATTAGTACTTTAATAAAGGGCATTTAATATACGGCAACTATTTAATATATATTATAAAATGTTACTTTTTTATATCGAAAGGTTATTCTAAATTCATGCATCATTATCTATAATAAAATCAAAATATTAACGCCTTACCACTTTGATTCGAAAATAAATTATTGGCGAACTTTTGAAAATCCCGCCAAAAAGGTTGATTAACCTGACAACTCTGCAAGAACCAGGGGTGAACTAAAAGCAGCTGATTGCATTGACAGTGTGGCAACGCCTCATTTGCATACTCCTTGGTTTTTTCTTCAACCCATAAGAAAATCTTTGAAAATGACGAATTTTAAATGAAAACAGCGACCAAACAGAACGCAACGTGATGCCGGAGACTTAATAAACCACTCCGAAATAAAGTGCAATTAAATTACATAGTTTTATACAACGGAAACTGGCTGGAGAGCCGGAGGTAGAGTAACCATCGCCTCCACCAGCATTGTTCTAAATGCCGAAAAGTTTATTACTCATTTAAGAAAACGCATTTGTGTGCCTAGTTAGTTAATTAATCAAAGCCGGACGATGAACTTGACGTACTTGTTCGTGCTCATTTGGCTGGCCTTCCTCATCAGTAGCGGAGTGCTACTTTTCTCGCGGGGATTCCTGCTGGCCCGCGTCTCAAAAACTGAGACGAGCACCTGTCGCCGATTGTCCACGAATCCCAACGCTGTATGTTATATACCTTGCAATAAACCAATCCATTTTTAATCCTTTATCCTTAAACAGGAGTACGTCCTCACCGAAGAGGTTGTGAATGAGATCTTTAAGGATGTCAACGCCTCCTCCAATCTGTGTCTTCCCCAAAAGTCAAAGGTCATTGTCCTTGTTGTAGATGCCCTGAAATACGAATTCGGCCTTTACAAGGAGAACGTTAATGATCCTTTGCCCTATGAAAACAAATTGGTTGTGCTGCAAGAGCTGCTGAATGAGAGTCCAGATCGCGCCAAGTTGATGAGATTCCGTGCGGATCCGCCTACCACCACGTTACAGCGCTTGAAAGGACTCACCACCGGCAGCCTGCCCACTTTTATAGACATCGGCTCCAACTTTGCCTCGCCGGAGATCAACGAGGACAATGTGATCGACCAAATAGTCAAAAGCGATCTGCCGCTGGTCTTTCTGGGCGATAGCACCTGGACGGATCTGTACCCGCGCCGATTTAAGCGGTCCTATTCCTACCCCAGCTTCGATATTTTCGATCTGGACAGCGTGGACAATCAGATATTGAAGCATCTGCCCAAGGAGCTGGCCAGCGATGATTGGCAGGTGCTGGTCGCCCACTTCCTGGGCGTGGATCACTGTGGACACAAGCACGGACCCATGCACGAGGAAATGGCGCGCAAACTGGGAGAGATGAACGAGGTGATAAGGTATGGATTGTTAGGATTTATTACCACCAGCAAGACTCATATATATTGACTGTTTAGATCTGTGGTGGCGGCCATGGACAATGACACCACTCTGTTGGTGATGGGCGACCATGGAATGACGGCATCCGGCGATCATGGCGGCGACACCGATGACGAAACCAATGCTCTGCTGTTTGCCTACTCCAAGCAGCACAGATTCTATGGCAATGATTCGGGCTCAGATAGCGAAATGCTGCAGCAGGTGAGATAAGACAAGGGGTAATCTTCGCACGTCACGTCACAGTGATAACCAACGATATTTGTTTTCCAGATTGATCTGGTGCCCACACTGGCGACCATACTCGGCGTACCGATACCCTACTCAAATCTGGGTCTGGTTAATTTTAACATTGTACCCGACCTGCAAGTGCCGCATTTGAACAAGTTCCAGACCCTGTTGCTCCATTCCTGGCAGAATGCCCAGCAGATCTATCGCTACTTTTTCCAGTACGCTTTGGAGAACAAGCGCACGTTCAATGTGGAGCAAATGGACCAACTGGAGACGGAGTTCATACTGCTCTCCCATCGAGTGCAGACAGTTTACAACGAAGCCGCCTACAAATCCTTTGTAAGAGATTTGAATATAAATCTGCGAGACATCCTGGGCACTTGCAGGGAGATCTGGGTCAGGTTCGAGCCCACGCAGATGTCGCAGGGACTGCTCTTCAGCTTCCTGCCCTTGTTCTTCATCTTCCTGCTGGTGAACAACTCACGGCCGGCTGACTATGTGCACATCTTCAAAGCCAAGGAGGTCTTCTACACGTACCTTATTAACTTGGCCGCTGGAGTTTTTGGATACCGCTACTATAAGACTTTCTCCTTCAAGACGGAGGAACAAGGAGTGATCTTTTTTACGGCCATATCCAGTGCCGTCATCCTGGCTTTCCATACGCTGCGTCACTGGACCAATATTGCCACTAACTGGTCAACGGTTAAGCGGTTTGGACACATGCCCACGCGACTGCTGCTGTTTGCGTCCATGGCTGTGTTCTTCTCGAACAGCTTCGTCATTCAGGAGGCCAAGATCTTGTCGTACCTTTTGGCGGCAGCCATTCTCCTGCTGTCCCACGAACTTCTGCGGCTGAGTGCTCGCTTGGATTTCAGGACCAAATTCAAGGCCTCCCAGTTTCTACGCTCCACAGCCCTAAGATTGATCCTGGCCAGCTTTTTGGCGATTTGTTTGATTCGCTTTGCCTACACGCTGTTCCGTTGTCGGGAGGAGCAGGGCAATTGCACGGACTTTGCCAATAGCGGTGGTGCAGGATTCTCCATCAAAAAGCCGGGCACTGGCAAGACCTACATTCTGGCCGTGGTTGTTCTCGTAGTGTACACAACCCTGACTCGCTTGTATCTCCGTTCCTGCGGCAATCTGACTGGCAACTCACCGAACGTACTGCTGGCTCGATATGGACCCACGGTGGCCTCCATTTGCGCCGGAGGACATGTGCTACTGGCCAATAGCTCCATCAAGAATATACAACGCACCCACATCGATGCCATGGCTTTGGTTATCTACGCTCTGCTATTGGTGCAGATCATAGTGGTTTCCTGGGCTCCGCTGATGACCTTCGTGCTGCCTCCCAGGAGTTCTCATACTGTAACCATTAACGGAAACGAAAGCATTGTGCCGGAAATCTTTAGGAAGATGAAGCGAATGTACGAGGGCGATGACGAGGAGCGGCGTAATCAGATCCCGGTGGTATACGGATTGGCTACAGTTTACTCCTCCATCGTCATTACCTTTGGCGTCTTCCTGGCTTTGGTGATGGTTGTTCTCCTGGAACCGCGTGCTTCTATCGGTTTGATTGTTTGCGTGGCCGTGGGAGCTATTTTGCTTAGTGTTCATGGTATACTGCGTTATCGCACGGCCAGTAGTTTTGGTAAGTAATTGATTTTGGGGTACCTTAAAATGGGTTATTAAAAAACATTTTTCCCTTTCAGAGAGCTGCGTGCAGCCCACTTTTACGGCCCTGGTTGGTTGGTTCCTGTTGGCCCATTTCTGCTTTTTTGCCACTTCGCATCAGACGACGCTGTCGCAGATTGAGTGGCGTGCCGCCTTTGTGGGTCGCACCACTGGTATTGGACAGTCGAATCTTATATCTGGCGCTCTAGTTATCCTGAACACCTTTTGCGGACCCATTTTCTTCTTCTGCATGTACTCCCTGCTTAGTACAGAGACTTTTTCGCTGTTTGCACTGTTCCCCAATCTCATCCGGAGCTGCAGGAGTGGCGGCAAAGTGGATCCGAACACCTCCATGACGGATTTGGCCAATGAGGCGGTTGGCTTTGATATGACAAGGGGCGAATTGACTTTGTACGAGTACGAGGACGTTTTCCTGGGAGCTGGTTTCAAGCTAGCCACACAGTTTTTTATGCTGCAGGGTCTAAAGGTAAGCGATTGGAACCATTTCATAGACGAGTTACTGATTAACTTTTCGCTTTCAGATATTCTGTGCCATGATGGCCTGCACCATTCACTGCCGCCACCTGATGGTGTGGAAGATCTTTGCACCGCGCTTCATCTACGAGGCACTCGCAACGTTCGTCAGCCTGCCCGCCCTTATTGTGGGCTATCTTTTGGTGCTCCGCATCCATCGTGCTGTGGACACCCTCATCAAGCGCATCAACAAGGCCAAGGTCCACTAGTCTCAGCCCAAATACAACTATTTATTTAGGCCTTAATAAACACAAGTAATAAGAAAATTCAATTCTGGGTTTGGTGGTCTTGTAGTTGTAATCTTATTTTTTTTTTAAGCTTAGAGTTAGAGTTAAAATTATCGGTTCACAATTTCTCCAAAAGACACAAAAAACGTCACATGATATCGCGGATCTATGGATTTACATAGTTTTTAGTGTTATGGCTTACAAAATTAACACGAGCAAACATGACAAGAAAATTAAGTACGCGTGGGGCTCTTGACCTCCGGTTTCGGTTGCGATTGCACTACAAACTATAGACTCGACACATACGCCTCTCGTTCACTGTTCCTTCATCCTCCAGGGGCTAAGTACGCAAATAAGTAACAAGGTGTGTGGGTTTAAGTGTGTTTTTTGGGATTGGCCGGGGTAAATATCAGAGCACTCTCCCAAGATAGCTTGGACCTCCGCTCAGTGTTAAAGTTTTTTTGTACATTTTGTTGCCAGGTCATTGGTGTTTCTTATAAATTGCTTTTGCCGTGAAATATGCGTGTGCAAAAGAGATTCAGGGACAGTTCAGAAGCCTACTGGCCATTGAGGAGCAACGGCGTGCTCGAGACTCCGTTAGCGGCGCCCTTAACTACAAAATCAAGAGAGAAACAGTCAGGCGGAAATCAAAATTTTATGATCGAAAGTGGGTGCAAAAAATTTTAAATTTGGAAGAGGAAAGCATTTGAAATGGAGTGACATGCAAAGGAACTCCGAAAGACAGAGGTTTATGGTATGTACAGCAGTGAAAGTTCAAGCTTTTGGTTCTATATTCTTTGGCTATGCATAATGTTGACTCCTGGTCGAATGACCTAGTCGCTGTTCTCGTCGTACGGATGATACTGCTTCGGCGGCTCTGGCGGCTGCTCGTCCTGCTTACCATGCGTCGCCGAACGGCAGAACTTCTTGGTGGTGCTCCAGTCCTCCTTGAGGGACAGATTGAACATGGAGTAGTCCGGATCGCCGGTCACCTCCTTTACAATATTCAGGAACTTGGGCATGCAGTTCTTCAGGGCATCGCCGGTAAGCGATGAGTACGTCTCCAATAGCACCAATCCCTTGCAGCTACAAAAAGATTATTATCATTAGGAAATTCAGCTGAATCTTTAAAGATTTAAACGCACCGTGGATGGCCTGGCTCCTTGTAAATGTCCAGCTGGAAATATTGGTTGTTGATCAGGAAGCAGCGGCGCTTCTTGTAGATGGTAAAGTGGGCATCGTCGCGCTGGGCCAACAGGTTCATGTAGTCGCGATGCGTCAGCTGAGTCTTCACCTCGATGCGGGCCTGCCCGTGAACGTTGGGACGTCGCTGTGTATGGATGTAGCTCCAGTGGCTTTTCTGGCCGCGCTTGCGCAGGCGGGCCTGCACCTTGGGGCCGGCGGATTGCAGATAATGGTGCACGACATCAAAGTCCTGGAAGGGCGGAAACTCGCTGTCTGGCGGCAGAAGGGCAACTGCAAAAGAATATAATCTTAGAACGGATTCTCCATGGAAGAGCTTTTCAAGAACGCCTACCCAAATATTTCAGCTTGCGTGACGTGGCCTGCAAACGATCGCCAATGTCGATGCCAACTTTCTGGCAGACTGATTCAATCATACGGTTCATCTTGGACTCGAAATTGGTGGAGTTGTCAATCACATCAAAATAGGGATGACCCACCCAGGCGGCCGCAGATTTGTAGTCCAGTTCCCTGGCCAGATCAACGCCCTCCGAGCGGCAGGCGTGGTCCTGGAATAAACAAGTAAAAAATTAGTTAATATTAAAATTTAATTTTTTAGCCCTTAGCCCTACTAAAAAGCCGCTCTAGCAATAGTTATAAATACGGCTGACAATTTAAAATATTGTTAGACTTCCAATTTGTTACAGATAAATGGTCCTTTGAATGTATAAGGATTTGTTTGTCATTAGAAAATAAGAATATATAATCAAATTATAAAAGAATTGATTCATTAATATAGTGAAATGTAAAAATAATTTATTTACTAAACAAATATCTATAACAAAACATTGATGAACGTAAGTACTTATAAAATCAATTCAATAAGAAACAAAAGTTCTGGAGAGATTCATAGAACTCATAGAATGTTAACATTACATTAAATACTTTAAAATATAATGGAGGAGGAATTTTAATTGAGGAGGTTTGGAGGAGGTTCGGAACCAACTGTGGCAATCGAGGTAAGAAGTGTAGCCATTCTTGGATACCTGATAGTGGCGTTTTCTGTTCTACCGTATTCGGGCGTTTTATTTGTGCGGACAAGAGAATTGGTCAAGTGAAATCTTTACTGCCGACCAATGTCCTGCTACTCACCTCTGTGGAGTAAAAGTCCTCGGCACCGTTGGCCGCTGAGACCAAGTGCAGGATCTGGTTATAGCGATTGTCGCGCATCTCCACGGGATTCCATTTGTTGCCCGCCATCATCTTCTCCCACTTATCCTTTGATATGTCTGAAAAATCGGATAGGTATGTTTATTTCCCGAATCTAAGTGGGTAACATTTAGGTATATACTTACATGCACTGGCATCCATAACGCCGCGATCGCAGATTATCAGGCAGTTGCGGGTGCTCGAGTTGCCGAGCTCAAAGTAGGTGTTCTCGATTTGCACCATGGTGCGGATCAGATTCTCTTGGAACTTGTAGGCTGCACGGGAATGGAGGAAGGAAAGTTTACTCTTTGGACTCTCGACGTTTATTTACAATCGAAACAAATAGAAATCGAAATACAATTGCAAGCAAATTCGAATCGAAGGGAAAATAACACTGTGGGCATCGAATTGTAAGAGAATTAATTGACTGGGCTCTGATTCAAGTGTGATGACAGTGCTTGATGGACGATGGCCAGTATCCAGTATCTGAGTTCAGCGATGTCAAGTTGAAGCGATGAAACCTAATCTGAATTTGAGTCGATGGAATGGAAAACAAGAACACAAATCGAATTCAAAAGTTCAATCAACTTGTTGTCAACTGATGTGAATAGTACTTTTTCCCATGTAAACAGTTTCTAATCAGCATCAGGTTAAAGAGTACTACTCATTATTCGTCTACCCCAGATGTTACTGTCCGAATGGGAGGTCGAATCATATGCATTGTATTTATTTTCGCTTCCTCACTTTCAATTAAATTTCAATGGTGATACTAATTTATAAAGCGGTGAAAAGCAGTTGAAGTCAACCACAGTTCTGGTTATTTTTAGAAATCGCACCGTAAATAATTTAGCTTATATTTATAATTCATATGATGCTCAGAAGGAATGTCTTCATATACAAAGCCAACCAAATTTTAAAATTTATAATCTTCTCCTAAAATATGTTTATATATATTCAAACATTTTAATTCGAAACACATATAATAATTAAGAAACCATGTGAATAACGACCCTTTGTTAAAAGTGAAAACGTTCGTGCAGTTATTCAAATAAATTAGAATTATTTTACTATATGGTTTTAATATCATCACCACGGGTCAAAATATTTGTAAAAAATTTTATGAAGGGAAACAAAATTTGCTTTCATTTTGAAGTACTTAAATAAATTCAAGTATTGATTAGAAATTTTTAATAGGAAGTTGTTTTGCTAAATAGTCTTTGGCCTTGCCGCCCGAAACTATATGAAAGCTGTATGTGCCACAGTAATCTAAAAGCAGTTGGAACAAGTAAATAAATAAATAGCTCATTGCGTCACAGCCTCAGCTGGTTTAAGTGGCGATGTGGCGACGAGGGGCTTTTTCCCAGAGACAGGGAGTCACCGGTTGCCATTTTAGCGATAAGCTATTTCATCACCACACTCTTTTTAAAATACAGTTCAAATTCTTTAACTGGAACATTCTTTGGGTGATTTTTTAACTTTATCAATTGGGGATTTTCTACAATACAACTGTCTTTCTTTGTTTAAAATGTTTGAACCTACAATATTTTTGGGAATGAAAAAAAATGTTTTTATAAGTATTAACTTTTTGCAATTATTTCAAAAAATGTTCAACATATACTTTATACCTCAAAATATCTTCTATCTAACTGGCAAATCTTTTCTGTATTAATTATTATTTAATCTATTGAATTTGTTTGTACTGGAACCAAATTTCTAGAACAAATAAAATAATGATTAAAGTAGAAAAGCTAAGCTTAAACTCTTTCCTGAGTTTATTATGAATATTCAAGGGGGTTTTATGTCACGATGTTTTACTGTGGTTACATTGCATTTTGTGAACCACCAAAGAGGAGGTGAAAAGGGGTGGATCTTGGGGGCCAAGTCAGGCGTATTTTGGGGGAGCGACGCAACAACACTTGTTGCGGTTCTCGGTCGCGTGCAAAATAAAAAAGTTAGCTGCCTAACGAGCTGCCTTTGTTTACGCATTGGTTGTTGCTGTTGCTTTTTATTGGTGGCTGCAATGCAATTGCATTGAACTTGACTCGGTGCATCAGGTGACAGGTGAAATCGATCAATTTGTGCGACGCTTTTCGCTGTTGCTTACTGCTCTGTTTTTGTTTGGTTCTTTCACGATGCCAATTCTAATTCAATTAGCAACGATGATGCAAGAGAAAATAATGGAAAAAGCCTCAAAATGTATGTAAGCCAGTGTATTTGCAATTTCACCAGCTATTGCGCATCAGAGAATGAAAGTCTATACACAGAGAGAAAAATAATTGTGGATCGCACTAACCCTGATTAGGTAGTTAAATCTAAATTGTATATATATAAAAAACAAACTCCATGATTCTGAATAACAAAAAGGTTAAAGAGGTTGTAAAAAAACCTATTTCAATTTTTAAATTTTCTAAACTTCCGAATATCACTTTAAAAACAGATATTATAAGATCTATATAAACTATCTAAGCTTGTTTATCGTTTACATATTTTTCTTAATAAAAAAGATTTTTAAACTAGTAACACAGAAACTCTTAAAAAAAAACATAAAATCGCTATCAAAAACCCCCTTTATTTTTCTTGTGTACTAAATATGTGGATGATTGTCTTAAAGCAGGCGTGTGTGTGTTATTCTGTTTGTGTGTGATTGCCCAGCCAACCTTTAATGGACTCTCGAGATAATAAAAGTGTATGCAGATTAGAGGTTCTTCAGTCACATACATAATTAGCCAAGTTAATTTACATAATGCCAGAGAACTGATTTGCCTAATGAAGAAGTTGGATTGGTATTAACAATGAAAAAAGCGAAATGAAGGGCGAAATTCAGGGGGCGTGTCAATTGGAAATGGGTAGCAAATCAACAGACAAAAAAAAAAATCGTTTAGCAATCAATTTCGGGGAATCAATCGACAAGGGAGGACCACCAACAAAAGCAAGTGACAGACAGTGAGCGATAACAAGTTCAAACGAGAATTCTTGGCAAGACTTGCGAAAAACCCCGCCCCCTCTACTACATATATTATCTATCAAATGTTCCTATATGTATCTGCACAACTATCACAACGTTGTGGGTATATATGTACAGTTGCGGTCGAAATTTTTGTTCTATTAGCATGTTTATGATAGATTCCAAAAATATATTTTTTTTATTGTTGCCATTTCTAAAATTATTTATATTATGTAACGGAATATCATTTTTAAAAAAACTGTCACCTCAGAATAAATCATTATATTAAAGTTAATAGACCAATCATCAATGTATACTGGAGGATGAGACAACAGCGATATGTGATATTTAATTAGGACGTAATTCAATTTAAAAAAAATTAATATTTTCTTAGGGTTTTTTTTTTTTCTAAAATGTACCGTTAAAATTTCATTAATTTAAATTTGAAATGATTGCATATTTTTGACGGCAACTGTACAAATCGTAACACTAGAAAAATAATAGAATGGAGCGCATTTAGCGACCAACTGCGAAGAGAGAGTAAACAAAAGTCTGGGGGGTTCGATTGGCAGGAGCTATGGGGGCAGAGGCGTCGAAAAGGGGGTGCGGTTCGAGTGGGAAGCGGATGTCGAACTCGCGTCAGCAAGCACGTGATGCGGTGAAACATTTCACATTCTTCGCCTATAATACACACATTTAATTAGCCAGTCAGAAGACCAGCATATAGAACGTATACTAAAGCTCGGTCACCCACAGAAATAAATAATGCCGAAATGAAAACGAAAATTGTTTTCTGCCGGGAAATTGCCATGTGGCTATGGCTCACTGACTGGCCAACAATCGTCGAAAATCTTTTTGGCACATACAGTGAATATTGGTTAAATCAGACTGTGCAAATTTTAAATAACAAAGATTTGGAAACAGAAAAAAAAAATTATTTGATGATGAAAAAACAAGCTCCATTGGTTGCATATATTTAATTGGTGTTTATCATCTTATCATTTTTAACTTTCCATAAATAAAAAAATGTTATCAAAAAATATTTTTAAAAAATTAAAGATGAGAAGAAAAATAAAAAATCATAACAAAAGTAACATATCAGTAGCTTTACAAATGTTTAAAACACCCCGAAAATATATAAGTTTTTTAATATTTTCTCCAGTCTATGTAATTTTTAAGAGATTATTACTGTCTGCATAAGCAAAATGAGTATATGCAAGGTAATTAAAACGTTAAACAATCCCTCTTTAAAAATAAGCAAGGAGAAGTAAACAAATTTCACAGCGATTTCTGCAACGTCTTCACAATCAAGACTTTTGGGAGGTGGTGTCCAGATATCAGACTTCAGCACACACACGTGTTGCTCAGCACAGACCGCACAGTCCACTCAGATATATAATTATATACGTACTCGTGTCTTCGCATATGTTTTGGCTAAATTTAAATGGCCCATTTAAATTGGTTGAAATGGTAGCGACTAAACGAACTGCACTGGCATGACGTGAAATATTGTTATTGAAATGAGCAGATATATATCTTATAGAAAGACACACATTTGCAGTATGCGGCTATTACGACGTGTTAGTGGACACAAGTGTTATGGGAACGCACATAAATCATAGAACGAAGCCAGAACAAACAGAAACACACACATAATATATAGGAGTTAATAAAGAGAATTGTTTGCTTGGGCCAAACTGATTGTCTGTTTGGTAAAATGTCAAGTCATTTGGGGACGGACACAAAGCAAAGATATGGGACAAAAAGACGGGCAGGCGAGGTCTGTTAAAGACTTTATCCGATGACCTTAGGAAATGCATTATAAAAAAAAAGCAGCTCATGGACGCACAGGTAGACAGGACTTGGCTTAGAGCTCGATTCAATTTGGTTAGAGCGGCGCAATTGCAAATAACAAGGAAGATAACAACCGATCTGTGGCTCCACCGGCTCAACAGCTCGCACTCACCTTCGCTGCCATTGGGCCGGGATGCAGCCTTGGCCAAGCAGCGCGGACAGGATGCGGTTAGGTCGATGAGACTGTGCTCCGGAGCGGCGAAGGGCAGATCTTTGTAAACGAACGTGGTTGGCGTGGGCGGGTCTGTGAGTGTGGGTGGCGTTTTGTTTTGGTTTTGTGTGTGAGTGGGTATTAGATTAGCCCTGGCCATTAATATATTTTTGTAGATTCCCCCGTCCGGTCGTGACTCATAAAGGCATTAATTGTCCTACTTGCAAATAGCATTACTCATAAAGGCTTTGCAAGGAATTGCGACTAATCGCCAGGCATGTGATCAGACTTCGCTACTTTCTATATCTTATCTGATAGAGCTTTTGGCAATTTAGATATTTTTCGAAAGGGCCTCCGCCCCCCATGGCAACCCCTTGGTATATCCATTAATAACCATAATTGACAAATTGCTTGGCAAGTTAAAAGGAAGACTGACTTGCCAAGACTCGAGTCACGCAATCAGGATATCGAGTGGGAATTCGAATCGTGTCCCAAGGAATTACGTAAGTTTCATTGAAGACGTGACTTTCTTGGGGCCTTCTGGCTATATGCTCAGATATATAATAGATATACTCGTACTATCTATAGTATGGCGGCTGTCGCTTTTGCCTGATTTTAAAAATACCTCTAGCATTGTACATATAGTATTAGGATTCATGCTGTTGGTCCCTCGCAAAGTAAATATTTTGATTTATTTTCGTTGTTTCGAGAAAACCGCTGTGTCGATCTTGACAGTGCTCGGAAAATGAAATGTGGTCTCGGAAAATGCTTGCAATGTAAGACTCCTCTCTCCTCTGCTCCGTCAACTACCAACTTTTCTTTGGTCTAACGTTCGGTAGCACCGCCTCTACTTACCCTCTTTTTCGGTCAGATCGGAGAACTTCACGCCGCCACTAGATTTTCGAAAGTTGGGGGAGAAACAAAGAGAAAGAAGCGCAGATTAGCATCATTTCATAGAAGTCTATTGGTATTCACTAGATAGGGTATTTGAGAATTCAAGAGCATCGAGAATAGAACTCGAGTCGAATTAAGAATGTATCGGAACGGTCATCGTCTCAGGTAGAAGACGAGCGGCAGGCAAAGCTAATTGGTCCAATCTCAGGTGGCGGCCTCCTGAGCGGATCCTTTCGCTTTGATTGCCTTGATTTTATTTTTATTTATTTATTTTTGAGTGTAAGAGTGTGTGGAGAAAGAATTTACCTGAGTAAAACAGTGGCCGTTTCAGGCACGCGGAATACCTGAAAATATTTAACATGCTCATTGCTTTGTTTCGAGTTTTCGGGGCAATAGAAATGTAAAGTGGGAGTATCTAAAGGTAATCCCGCTGCAGCCATGGCTTCACTTTCTCCTCTACTTACAGAGCTGCCCGCTGCCCAAAGCAATCGCTATCTTGCCTTAGTCTAGGATCGACATTCCCATCCCCAAAAACACCCACGACACTCACCTTCCATCCAAGGTTCTCAAAGAAGGTGCACAATCGGGACTGGCCCGTCGTCTTGCCGCCACAGGGCCCTGAAAATGCAAAATGTATTCATTAATTTATTTGTTTATTTGTAAATGGCCCATGGCTACGTTCTTAAATTCTATATTGTTTGGATTGGCTGGGTAACGGGAGAAAGGTGTGCTAAAACTTGTGGGAAAATTCCCCTAAAGTTCTTTTATAACTTGTGAAATCGAAAAAGTTGTTAAAAGTTTTGCCTATTAAGGTTAACCATCTGTTTTTGTTTTGTAACAGCTTTAAAGATAAACAGTAGCATAATAATTTAATGATTTTCGATTTACAAATTACTACGTTGTTAAGGTTTAAATAATTTAAATTTTTGTAAAGAACTAGTTTATAATTAATTAATTCGCTAAATAAATTCACACGTGGTTACAGTTTACATACATTATCAACGGTTTGGAGAGTAGCCACTGAATTAAGTTTCTAAATGCATTAACATATTTCGAAAACAATACAAGTTTATAAGCTCCTCATAGTAAAGCAAGATTCGGTTTTAATCTAAGAAATTTACAGTATAAACATACTCTTAGTTTATCATGATGAAAAGTAAAAAAAAACGATAATGAAATGAAATTATTAAACAAAATTCTGGTCTAATACCACTTTCTTCATTTGCAAAATATTTCTATAAAAATTAAGTTTGTCCCTACGAATATTTTTGATATTTGATTTGAAATTCGATCTAATCCCTTGTAATACTTTTGGATATTATATGTGAAATGTCTAATTGAACGATTTTTTTTTTATTGTTAATTGTTAGACTCGACAGGCCGGAAACGAATTATTACAACTTGTGTCCCAAATTCCAATAAATCAAGTGCAGCCGAGTTCCTCGCCGATGAGCATATCACTCGATTAGATTAGTGGCCTGACCCTGAAGGCAATTGTGCCCATAACTGAATGCATTGCGCAGCGATCTGTGGAAATCGATTTCGAATGCACTCCCAAAGAGTCAAGCCCGTCAATAAGTCCCCAATCAAGCGATAAGACTTCTATGAATGGGTCTTTGCAGGGTAAATCCCTGAGGATTTTCGAACGAGTGCCACACGTGGCGATTGGGCCCCTGTCTTTTATCAACCTCTTCCTGAAAATATTAGAATTCTGGGTGGTGGAAGTCAGGCCCGAAAGCGATAATACAGAAGTATGATCAAGTATGTGTAGAGAGATAGGCCTGCCAATACATCAATGCTATTTGTGGGGCTTCTAATCACAGCCATAACTTGGGCCAAATTAAATGATTAGACCACGCGCCCAACCACTGCTCATATGATGGCCTGCCAAACCGGTTTTATTGCTCTGTTTTTACATATGAATAGCAGCGGGCTTTGAAGCGCCGACTAGCCAAAAACACAAAAAAAGAAAAGCCGGTAGCTATATGAATACAAAGTATGTTAGGTGGGGAAGTTATGGGAAGCTGCGCGCAGGACACAATCTCTACCCCTCCGTGGAAACCGCGACCTTGACACAAATCGTAAACAAATCGCAATCGGGTGGATGGGCCACGAGGATACGAGGACACTTGTAACAGATACACAGAAAAGCCCACAGTTATCAGAGATTTTTTGGGGTAGGAATTACATACCGCCAGTTAGGACTATTTTGTAGACGCGTTTATCTTTCGGTGACACTGAGCCCATCCTATTGAGCTTTAAACTGGGCATGGCGCCTGGTTTGGGTGAGCTGGACTTCCTGATCTCGACCTGCTGCTGCTGCTGCTGCTGCTCCGGTTCGTCCTTCTGCTGCTCCTGACCATTACTAGTGGCCATCAACGACTGCTGTCCGTTACTGAGGAGGGTAGCCATGGTTTCGTCTTCGGGAATATTGCTTTTTTTTTTTTTTGGGAGAGGAGCCGATTGGCTGTGGTGGCACGCAGAAAACTCTTCTACGTTGCGCTGCACGTGCCTTTTTAGGTTATGCCTGGGAAATCGCAGCTCCTGCGGTTCCTAGGGGGATTACTGGTGTCCCAATTTCCTGGTCTCCTGATGGGGAATCCTAGTGTTCCTGGATCTTGCGCTCTGCAATTCAAAAGCTGCACTGGCGCGTTGTAATCATGCCCAGAGATGGGATTGCGCGGGATACTCTCAAAAGGCCGACGGAGGAACTATAGAATTTGACCAACGAGTCGGCAGCGTCAGACGCTACTGTTCGAATCCGTACCACATCCGAATATTTGGGCACTATCAAAGTTTATGCGTTTTGTGGTGGAATTGCATTTTTACGAGTTGACACCGCATCCGTTTATTACACAAGAAAAGCACGGAATAATATGGAAAATGTGTGCCGACGGTCGGTCTTATACCTTTGGCTAAGTCTAGTGTGGCCGCGCTTTGGTGTGCAAAAATAGGCGAAAGTTATCGGGAGAGAACAAAAACGGTGCATACTTTAAGGGCTGGTGATGAAAATGGTCACACTACCAACAACAGGTAAAAAAAAAATTAGTGAGTTATGAAGCCACTTAATATTTTTAAAACAACATTAACATAAATATACTTTCCATATTTTTTTTTCGTGTAAAAAGTATTAAAAATGGTTCCCTCAAAAGCAGAGAAGTGTTCCAACCCATTTAATAAATGCCCCAAAACTTGTTGCATAGCTGAACAGATATTGGAGAAATTAAATTAAGATTATGAAATTCATTTTTTTTTCAAAGTTCTATTTAAATTAAATTATTCTTATATTGTATGCCTTCTTCACATCTTCAAATAATATAATAATAATAAATGCTGTTTCAGACAACTGAAAAACTTATGTTATTCAATAATTTTAATAAAGCCCAAATAAATAGAAAACATCTTATTTGCATATTATATATAGCAAGTACATTGAATATTCAATCTGTTACATTAAAAAATCAGGAACATCGCTACAAGCCCAATCTCAGTTCACATAACACAATTAATAATAAACAAAACAAACAAACAAACAAAATAAAAACCCTATCGATATTATTGTTAACAAATTGTTGCTTCAAAACTGGCCTTTTTGTACAGTTTAGGTTTGAGAAAATTTTTACAAAATATTGAATTTATATTAATTCTGCTTTGTGGTAAAGGCCATATTAATAAAATATTTTTAGACCAAAAACCCCGAAATTTTGTTGATTTTTTTTGTTTTAATGTAAAATTTCCTAAAATGACTGGTTAATTATTGGAAATTAAAGCTAATTTTTATTCATAACAATAAACAAACCTGTTTCAATATATCATATAGCATTCTATTCACGAAAATAAAATGTAGCTATACAGGTTTTCAATATAAGATCGATTTCAATTCATGAAGATAATATGTAGGTAAGAAACTAAATATGAACACAAATGATTATTTTTTAAGGACTAAATATTATAGTATTTGCAAAAGCAATATCGATATTTTAAAATTCCTTTCACGAAAATATCGATATATTGATATTTTGATGCATTTCACACATCTCCAGTTCAGTTCTAAATTTAAAGCGTAATTTGGTGCACACAAGAACGATGAGCGGATGCCATCGATTGGAATAGTTAAACAAATCGCCAGCGTGCCACATCTAGTGAAATTGCATTAGCCAAATAAAATCACTAGAAAAAACAAATCAAAAAAGCGCAGTTTAACCAACAAACAGTGTGTACAATTTCACACACCACGTAACGTAACACATGTGCGTGCGTGTATGAGTGCGTGCGAGCGAGAGAGAGCGAGTGTCAAAATGACAGCAGTAGCAACAAAAAAAACAACAACAGAAGCAATAGAGACCAAATCAACAACAACAACAACAGTATAGTCAGCCAGCTGTGCGAGGTCGTTTCACCCCCTCCCCTCCCTGAAAAATAGAAAAAATAACATAAAATTTGATAAAATTTTCTGTTCTCTGACAAACAGGATAAAAAACCAAAATTGTTTGTTACGTTAACCGTTACTCATAACTCAGCAAGCGTGTTATGAACATACTAAAACCAACCAAACTCAAGTGCATCGTATTTAACCAACTGCGTCACACTTGGACGTTTCTTTTGTTTTTTTGCGATTTGCTGGTGAAGTTTTACGAAAAGGCTCTTCCATCTGAGCACCAGGAGCAGCTGATCAATCATAATAACAATAATAACAACGATCTGATCATGGAGCAGGATATGCCGGACGAGGAGCCCCAGCAGCAGGATCAGGCGGACATTGGGGCCCGATTGCAGGCCATTCAGGGCGCTGGCGAACCCATGGACGCAGCCAGCGATTTGGACGACGAGGAGGAAGAGGACGACGACGACGTGGATGTGGACGTGGACTATGGTGATACCGATTCGGAATCGGAGTTCGAGGAGATGTTCTCGGATGAGACGGTCAGTTCCAGCGATGAGCTGGAGGAGAGCAAGGAGCGTTCTCCGTACGCCTTCCAGCCACTGCGTTTGGTCAAGTGTCAGTACAAGGATAAACACAACTTCGGTGGTTTCCCGCTGGCGCGCAGTGGCCACCGCATTATCGCCTCCAATTCGCACCTGTACTCCCTTGGGGGCTATAATCCCCGAAGCGCTGTAAGTGCCTCCCGTAACGGACGCTGCCTGCTCTTTCAGGAGCTTTGGAGCTTTAACTTCGCCACCAGGACCTGGAAGCTGGAGCTGAATGCGGACAATGCCAGCAATATGCCCGTGGAGCTGGCGTCCAATGCGTTGACCATTCACAATAATGTGTTGATTGTGAGTATCTATTAGATGCTATATAAATCACTATAGCAGGAGGCGGCACAGGGGGCTGTTAAGTAGACGAAAATAGATGAGTTCGATTGTCTCTCTCTCGTTGGGTGTGTAAACAGAGAGAAAAATGTAGATCACTTTGAGAGACAGCATTTTTCACTTGAAAATGTTGTATCCAACCAGAAATGTTTAAATTGTGGTTGTGGTTTAAACAAATTCCATACCTAGGGGTGCTGATAACAAAAATATAGAAAATTGGCAACTAGCCATTCTCTTGCAAACAAATTGCTATCAGCACTTGTAAACTGTAAATAAATACCTCAACAAGTATAGTGTTTCTGATACGTTAGAAATGTTTATGTTGATCTGGAATTTATTTGTGGCCTGTCATAGATTTTTAAGGTACAGAAAGGCAGTTAATGATTATATAATGTGACAATGCCCACTCTAATATTAAATATTAAAATATAGTTCATTTCTTTCTGTGTAGTCTAGCAAAACCATCAATTGCAATAAAAAAAACTTGTTTGTGCTCAAGTAGAAAACACAATTGAATTGTGAAATGAGCAGAGAAATCACACAGCTGATCGACCAGATCTCGATGGAGAGTGAAAATTAGAGAGAGGGTTATTCTGGGTAATGAAAATCGCCAGGGCCAATGCCACGCCCTTCTCCTCGCCTCCACTTTTCCGCCTGTGGGTTTTGTTTATGCATTCTAAACACCCGAAATGTCAACCTAAACAGCTGCCCATGGCCATAGCCGTATGCCTCTCACTCTGGGACACCACCGCCTCCTCCTCCGCCTCTGCGCATGCCAGGCAACCCTCTTTTCCACTTTGGTAACTACGCAGTTGTTGTTTATGCTGCTGCCGCATGCAACAACTTGTTTTCCAGCTTTCCCCACCTCGCGCTCTGCTGGAAAAACTCAAAACATTGTATTTACCATTTTTACCCACCCAGCAGCTGAGTGCGCGCGCTTTTTTTTGGGAGGAAGTTAACCGAAAAGAAAAACCGAAAGCAAAGCCAAACGGGAGCTGTTGGCATTTTATGCTGGCAGCAATGCCCTTCCCTTGCATTCCACAATTAGCTATAATTTGATGACGAATCATGCCCCGATACATACACAAATACACACTGGAGACATATGTTTCCGCTTATGTGGGCTGCAGCTCAACCTCCCTACTGCAGCTCCTCTTTATATTCCACATCTTTGTTCGCCTCGACCTCCGAACCCTCCTCCACCAGGCGATGATAAGCTGCTGCAGCTCAAGTATCTGCTAATTGAATGCATTGGCAGCAATGTCAGGGGCGTGGATGCACCCCGTTCAGCTCTCTTATTGTGTATACTCAATGAACGTACTAGAAATAATCTAGAAAAAAATCTATTAAAAAACATTGTTTAGCAGATTCTAATTATGAAAATGAATGAATGAATTCAACGTCATAATTAATTTACATGACAAACACCCTATAAACTGGATTAGAATAATATTTTTACCACTTATCTCTTATATACTTTAGATTGTCTCATAAAATAAGTAATAAGCAAAAATACTATAAAAGAACAATGTATTTAATTTTTCAGTCCCATGGAGGCACGGGATATCCCTTTGGAGAATCTTGCTCCAACGACTGCTACGTTTACCGCACGGCCAGCGCTGGCGCGACACCGGGCGTAGAGCGCCTAAAGGTCCAGGGTGATCTGCCCACGGCCCAGTACGGACCGGGCATAGTGATTCACAAGCACTTCCTGTACACAATCGGCGGAACGACGGGCTTTGACTACACCTGTGATGTATATCGTTTGGATTTCCGCACCGGGATCTGGGAGAATGTGTACATCAGCCGTCCGGAGATGCGTGATGATCCGGAGGGTCGATATCGCCACGAGGTCGTCTACGATGGAAAGCACATCTTCGTGCTGGGCGGTGGCACTTCACACTCGGTGTACGATCTGCAGCGCATTCCGGCATACAACCTGGAGTCGAACTGCTGGGATTATTTCGACACGTATCCCGATCGCCGATCCGCTGACATGGAAGACGGCGACAGAGGCTATCCAAAGCCGCGCAAGTGTTTCTCCTGTGTGCAGCACCAGTCCTCAAACGGGGACATCGAAGCCTTTATTACGGGTGGCCTGCAGGTGAGTTAAAACTCGAGGATAAAATGTAAATTATTAAATCATTTTGTTTGAATGAGGTAAACAATAATGCCTTTTGCAAACAAAATAAGAAAACCTATTTATGAAAACCTAATATGAAATTTAAGAACATCCGCTAAAGTAAAAACTAAATTTTCAGGGCGATTTCTCCACGTATTTTTCGGACATTTGGAAGCTTAATCTGCGCAGCAAGAAGTGGTTCCGCATCGAGACCGCCACGCTGCCCCGCCCCCTGTATTTCCATTCGGCAGCCCACTCTGATAATGGATGCATGTACGTGTTCGGTGGCATCGAGTATAACGTTAAGGAGATGCGCCGTCGCAATGTTCTGTACAAGATGTGGATGACGGTGCCCAAGCTGAGCGAGATGTGTTGGGACGCCATCACATACTACAACGACAATCTGAACTTGTACGATAGAAAGACACTGCTGGGAGCCGGGATTCCCAAACGTTTCGCGGAACGTCTGCCGCCGCAGCGGAGGAGGAGGTTGGACATTAACCAGCCGGACCCGTCCATGATTATTTCACTTTACTCGAACCCGAAACGTGCCCGCTCCACAACGCAATAGGCCTGCCCCCCGTTAACCCGATAATAAATCGAATCTGAGGAGGGGAGCCGGTGTCTCCTCGCCACGAAACTGTTTCAGTTGCAGAACTTTACGTTACTATTGTTTAAAAGTTTTGTTTCACATTGAGCGCGCGCTGTGATCGAATACGAAGGACATTTATAGTTATACACATATGTATTTTGATACTCGAAAGGAGAGGCGGACATGTTTAGCATGTAAATAAGATTGTAATTAAGTTTAGCTAGCGGAACAACAGCCAGAGACAGGCCATGCGTATGTATTCTAAACTTCAGCTTACAGATCAGCCAGCGCACCCCACACCCGAGCATCCAAAAACCACCTCGGTAAACCCCACAGTATCTGACCAGGTCCCCTACACATTACACGCTATGCATCACGGCCCTGAAATTGTTCACCCTTCTTTAAATCCAACACCCATACCACTTTGCACACAATCGAACCAATATTGAAGGCTACACCAAACAATGTCATATAGAGGGGGCAACCCCGATGTATTTTTGTCAAAGTGTACATAATACTTAGCGGTAGTAATATTTAATTAACATAAGACTCCATCATTATTGCGATATCATGTACCAATGCAGTGCGTACGGTACTGCACGCCCCCGTGGCGAACGTCGGTTTGCTCGATTTATATTACCCAAGACTAAATTTGGTTGAATCTAAGTTAATAAATAAATTTTTAATGCAACACCATCGGCGTTTGATTCGTACCATTCGCATCCTGGCACAGATCATTCACGGCGTAGTTTTGCCAATGACCCAGTTTCATGCTTCCCCGGCCAAAAAAAAACGCTGTCCGTGGTTCGGAATTTCTCGAAAGGATGGGGCGGGCAGGCGTTGAGTCATGCGCAATTTGCAGTCACAAATGCACCCTGCTAACCATGATTTTCGGCAAACTGCGTAGCACCAAAGCCCAAAGTACAGGTATTCGGGCGATGAAGCGTTTTGAATTCGGTGGTTGAAAGTAAAGACTGTTGCGCTGACCCCGTGGAGCGTTGATGCATCGCATAAAATAAGTGGAAAAAGAACGAGGGGAGAGTTGGAGTGCAGTTTTTGCTGCGTAATAGGTCCGTGACCTGGTTTGCCAATGACGTCACCAAATACGCCTTCAAATTCAAACTATGCGGAAGTTGTGGGTGAAATGTAGATAAATTTGTTGATGCAAATGTCTCCAAAGGAAGTACTGATAGGGTGGAGTATAGAACATCCTGTGGCTTTAAAATGAGTCACCTAGATTGAAGTTTCAAAGGGATTGGAATTTATTTACATAATAGAAATTTTGATTGTATACAGCAATTTTAAATACATATGTATGTACATATATTGTTGTTATCATGTTTTCAACTATTTTGGTAATTCTTATCTACTACATTTAGTATATTACCAAAACCTCAAATATTATTATTTATTGTGCAAATATTATTTGGCAGTTAAACAGGTACTTCTTTTTTAAATATTTAGTTTTTTACAATTTAATTTGCGGCTGAAATTTTGTAATCATATTTATCAGTTTTGTATAATTTGGTTTTTTTGTTCTCTGTTAATTTTACAATTTTTAGTCTAATCTATTTCAAATGAAACATAACGGGCTCAAAGGAAAAAACAAGCTTCACAAAAACAACATCATTCCAATATTAATGTTCTGGTTGGGAATAAGAAAAAATGGCATATTATCATTTCAAGCTGTGTTTTTATTCCTAAATTCTTCTGGAATCCTGAATGGCCAAAAAATCTCGTCAGTTATCTTTCCTGAGGGTTGAGGAATAGAGAAAGGAAACGAAGGAATTGGGTTCTTGACTTCGCGGAACGGATTATAGTAAGGAAGACCAGAATCGGTGCTTACCCTGACTTCGGGTAATGAATTATAGTAAGGAACCTGAGGAAAGGGGTACCTGACTTCGGGCACAGGAATATGGGAACTGAACGGAGGAATGGTGTTCCAGTCTTCGGGTAATGAATTAGAGTAAGGAAACTGAGGATTTGGGTTCTTGATTTCGGGTACAGGAATATGGAAAGAAAACGGACGAATTGGGTACCGGACTTCGGGCAGAGAATTATAGTAAGGAAGCCGAGGAATCGGGTTTCTGAATTCGGGCACAGAAGAATCGGTGGGAGAAATGGTGTTCTTGACTTCTGGTACAGGAATATCGGAAGGAGGCGGCGGAATGGGGTTCCTTAATGCGGGTTCAGGAATATCGAAACTCGGAGTGGGGTTTCTGACATTCGGCACAGGAATATCGGTGTGTGGCGTAGGAACAGGTTCTGGCCCAGGATTGTAGGTAGAATGTGCAGGATTGTTGTCGATTGGGCGTTCTCTGTTCGGTGAGGCCCAGCATCCCATGCAAAATGGTAATGGCACAATAAGAAGCAACAAGAGACAACTGAAAATGTAAGAAAAGAAAAGAAAAATAATATTTAAATTATATAAGTCCATGATTTTGAACTCTACTTACGCTGATGGTATACACCTCATGTTGCTTTTTGATCAGTCGCTGATGAGATCAAAACTAGTAATCTTACTTTCGAATCCCCGTTTATATAGACGCAAAGCCGAACAGCTTCATGCGTACTTAAAAGCTTTAAAGAATTTAATGTTATTGTCACTAATCATCCTTTGTAATCAACGAATATTTTTTATTTTGGAGCTTCAAAGGTCTGCTTATATACTTTTCTTATCATAAAAAGCTTTCAGTCATTAAACTTATTTGTGCGCATATTTTCTTCCGAAAAATATAATACTTCCGGACAACATCTTAGATGTTGTCTTAGAAATAATAAGCTGTATTATAAGTAACACAAATATGATAAGGGTTCATTTATACACTTTCAGAGGCTATTATAATTTCAATCAAACTTGATACTTGAAACTGTCTCAATTTTGGATCTATCTAAATTAAGCTTTTCTAAACATATATATAGCTGTGAAAGAAACAATCATGAAAATAATTTTAAAAATTTACACTCTTTCATATACATATAAGATTAAAACTTGATATATACATGTTTTTACGATTTAAAAAATACATTTTAATTATAATACATTCAAGGGACTTTGGAACAATAGAAATATTAATTGTGAAATAGCTTGCATTGTTTTTAGGCAAATACGCTTCAAAATCGATATAGTTTTATGGATTACAATATTTTCGGCTGGCCATAAGTATAACCATGATAAGAGGACAACTGATGTTTTATAATTATTTATTTTTTTTTAATTTGAAAATAATTTCAAGTTGGCGGTTCAGATTTGCCGTTCCCAATGCAACGCTAACACCTTATCAGCTGATTTATTTGCCATTCCTTATGCAGTGTTTGTGAAGGCGTAGTTCTGTTGTTTTTCTTTTTTCGGCATTAAAATCCACACAATATGCTAAAACCCAAAGCCTTGACGCAGGTCCTCAGCCAGGCAAACACTGGCGGAGTGGAGAACACCCTGTAAGGAAACCACTTACCTTGCTTATTTGACCGACTAAGTATTTTCCGTACTCCCACAGCTTGCTTAGCCAGGAGGGCGCTCTTTTGGCGTACTCAGGATACGGCGATAAAGATGCCAGGATTACGGCGGCCATAGCCAGTAATATATGGGCGGCCTACGAGAAGCACGGCCGGAATGCCTTTCGCGAAGATCGTTTGACCTTTGTGCTGATTGATTGTGAGAACGGTCATGTGGCCATCACACAGGTGGGAGATTCTTTAGGGATTTCTTATGTGCTTCATTAATTACTCCCTCTATTTACAGGTTGCCAGTGTGCTCCTATGTCTATACGCCAAGCAAACTGTGGGATTGGGTCTTCTGAAGCAAAAGACCATGTCACTGGCCTCTTATTTGGAGCGACCGCTTAAGCAGATCTCGGCATTGTCAAACTAGATAGTTATTAAGTCCAACATTTGTCATTAAATTTAATAAGTAAATAAATGAATAATTTTCCTTTAAAGAAAGATGTAACCAATAATGATTCATTTCAAATTATTAAATTTAATAAGAAATAAATCCGTATTCTTTTAATTCAGAAATTATTATATGTTGTTTTATCCTTAATCCTTATTAATGTCATTAAAAAAAAGCCTTTTGGTTATTGGGTCAGGTTTATTTTTCTGCAAGATTTGTTCAAAAACGCACACAATTGGTATGGTATATTGGATAAGAAATTGGTTTGACTTATTTACTAAATTTGTGGACTTTGCAGATGCTTATTCGATAGCGTATATCTTCAGGGTGCGGTCCATGCTGGTGGAGGCGAGATACTGAGCGTGCTTTCCGAATCTAACGCCCGTTGCCAGGGCCGTGTGGTCATTGAATACCTTCAGTTCCTGCCACTGTTTGCACAGGTAAACCCTGAAAATAAATCGAAGTTAATATTATAGTTGTACCTTGGCAACAGAGTAAACAAGTTTAGTAAGGGAATTCTTCTTGGTGAATCTAACTCCAAAATGCGCAAATTTAAAAGAAAAGTTTATCGCGAATATGAAAGTAAGTTTTTATTTTGGCAGGTATATATTTAACTATAATAAGTTGCCTTTCAAGACTTTGTGCGTCCCAAGACTCATGTGGAACCAGATCCTCCGAAGCCCATTAATTTATCGATTGAGGATTTCAATGCGGTGCGTCACGAAACTTTTTTTTGCTCTTATATTTAAGTAATATTTTCCTTTTCAGCGCGGAGAAATCGCCAATCCTCGTGCTCCTTGTGTGGTGACCACCATCGATCCCGACTACATAAAAGATGCCAGTCTGCAGCGTTTGGCCAGAAAGTTTCGGATGAAAACGTAAAGAATCACAATATACTTGCTACATCCTCGCAATTTCTATTTTTCCCGTTTTTCAGGGACATTCTACTGCTGCGACAGATAACACGCAACCGCTTCATGTACTATGCCACCCAAGAACTGTTCTTAGACCGAAAACGGGAGAAAGAGTACCAGGACAATCTGTACGAGAAGGCCGAGGAGTTCCACAAGTTTGCCGATGACTCGCTTAAGAAGATGGAGGCGGAAGAATTTAAGAAAATGCTGGAGGCGCAAGAGAAGCTTAAGATACTTAAAGAAAGCAAACTGGCCGAGGAGCTCAACGAGGTAAAACTGGAGCACCAGCGAGTCCTAATGGAAGTGCAGGAAGTCTACGGTCGCTTTCAGTATCTGTTAAAGCTTATCAGCTACTTTGACGACACGGTGGAGGAGGACCAGACCGAAGGGGAAGAAGTCAGCAATAAACTCATTATGCCGCAGGAGATTGTGGCAATGGAGATTACCGAACGGCATCCGGCAGGACTGGAGCAAGTGCGACAAATCCAGAACTATATGGACAAGATAGTACGACCTTATTTGGCTAAGCGGAATCATCTTGACGCGGAGATTTGGATTCGTGGCTATGAAAGGAATCGCTTAAAGGTCTCCAACTACAATAGACGATTCACTCAGTTGGCACTCTTAAACCACATCGTGGGAATTCTCCATGACAAGTCCCAAAAGACATACGAACGCCAGGTGAAAGCCAATGTGTTTCTCAAGGATCCCGAGTTCTTGCAGCGACGGGTAGCAGGACTTCAGGAGCGGTCTAAGGGTTTATTGAATGACTACGAACAGAAATACTGCAAAGAGTGGGTCAAAGTAAATTTAGGTCTTAAATTCTAATTAAATTAATTTTCTTTTCTTGCCAGCAAGCTGAATATCAAGCTAAATAGCATTATCCCAGTGATCCTAAAGCACATCCAAAACAAAGTTCAGCCGGAGCAAAAGAAGGAGGTGACGGAGCCGCCGCCTAAGTTAGCAGAACAAAAGTCATCCAAGCAGTGGCGCACTTTGGAGGATATGCAGCCGCCAACGCCGCCACCAAAGTCCACATACGAGGACGAACAGGACACGACTCTGGCCAAAGTGGAGAAAATCCAAGCCCATGTTCTGGTAATACTTTGTGCTGTGCCTCCCATAGAAATATGACTATTAATGGTTTTAACCTTTTAGGAACTCTTGGCTAAGTTGGACCACATTGAACCAAACAAACTGCAGTGCGTGGAGCAGCAGGTTCGCCGTCGCATGGCAGCGGAAAAGGAGATGTCTCGCCGTGCTCTGGTCAAACAGAACCGCCTGCATAACTGGATGGCGCACTTTAAGAAGCACCACAAGCTGCAGGTGGAGCAGCGGTGGAAAAACAAGGTCTAACATGGTCAACAATAATATACACGTATCAATTTAAAAATTAGATAACACCTTGGTTAAAAGTATAAATTAAATCGGCATATATAAAATAAACTCACCTGACATCGCTGCCGGCAATGGCCAAGTAGGTACCACTCTGGTCGAAGCACAGATCCTTAACCTCGTAGCCGTCGTCCAGCTGGATCGTCTTGAAGTTCTTAAGCTTCCGCAGATCCCACAGCTTGACACAGGCGTCATCTGCAGCGGTGGCCAGGTAGTAACCGTTCTCCGAGAATGAGATGGCTGAAATAGGTCCAGTGTGTCCAGGGAAGTTGGCCACGTTGCTCTGCTCCTTCAAATCCCAGATCTTGACCTGCGAGTCCACGGTGCCTGTGCCGAAAATCAGACCATCGGGATGGAACTGCGCCGTTGTCAGACCCACCTCGGCGAGGTCAGCTACCTTGGTGAGCAGGCGACCGGTGCGGATGTCGGAGAATGCCCAGTGTTTGTCGGACGAGGTGGACAGCAAATAGTCGCCCGTGGGGTGCAGCGAAAGTCCAGTCACGGGGCCCTCGTGGCAGCGGAGAAGCAGCTGCGTCTGCGAAGTGGGCACGTGCCAGATGCGAATGTTCATGTCGGGCGAGCCGGTAATGACTGTGTCCTCGTTCGGGTGATAGATGACTTCGGTGATCTTCTTGGTGTGTCCCTTCAGGATGGCCACCATCTGCTCGGTGTCCTTGTTAAATACAGTGGCGTTCTTGTCGTTGCCTCCAGTTAGAATTCTGCTGTGATCAGCGCTGTTAATGTCCAGGGCCAAAATGCCAGGCACCGAGGCCGAGTGCAGGCCGGGATGGGAGGCGACGGTAAGGAAGCTCTTCACCTGGTCCGGTGTGACCAGATCCTCGGGCACAGTGCGACCGCGCTTCTTGCGCTCCTGCGTCAGCACTGTGGCCTTGTCCTGCAGCTTCTGTATGACCTCGGCGCTCATGCCCGCCTGTTCCATGGGATGGGCAGCGGCGCCACCGGCCTCAGCAGCCAGGGCAGGCTGGGGAATCGCAGTGGGGGCGCTGACAATGCCCGCTTGAGGTTTCAGCGTAGCCAGAGCCTCGCGGGCGGCGGCCACCTCCTTGTTGAGACGCGCAATCACACGACAGGCGGCATCGTGCTGGTACAGGGCATGGGACAACTCTTGGCGCGTCGTTTGCAGCTGCTGTCGCTGTGTGAACGAGTGGATCATCAGAGCGTCCCACTCGTCCTGCATCGTCTTCAAAGTGGCCGGTATGCTGGTGGCGCTCGGCGGTTTTGGCTTCACTACGGCCGGCGTCTTGATCTCGATCAGCTCCTCAGGCTTTAGGTCTTTGCCGCTGATGGGGTCGACACCGTTCTCCAGCAGATACTTCTCAATTACCCGCTTCTCGAACACGGCTCCTGAATATGGGGAAACCACGGGCGTCTCGGGGACTTCGTTTGTCACTGGAACGAATGTGTGGCTCATAATAGCTATTTTTTGTTTGAAATTAAATTAATTCACTTACGTGCGCAAACCAAAGCCATTGCTGTTTATGTTTTTGTCACTTTTTGCGTAGTCTAGTTAGTAAATTAAATGTTTTACACGTTTTTCCCGAGCCAAGCGCAAAATTGTCGGCAAAGCCGCTTCTTGTTATTATGCCAGTCACACTGCCACGCGGGAGTTATCGAAAACAAGGTTGCCAGATGGTTATTGATTTGGTTACTAATTTGAATATGGTAGAAATAGCTTGAAGTAAAATAAATCTAACTTATCAATTTGCTTTATATCATCATCAAACAATAATGTCTATTTCGTATTTAACTTTGATGGTTTTGACTAAAAAATGTATTGTTTTTTGATTTCACACTGCATTTAATTCACATTGGTATACAATTTGATAAATTTAATTAATACAGAAATAAAAGATTGCCATTAGTATGCTAAAAAATAAATTTGTAATTATTATTATTTTATAAGAATACCTCAAGGGAATGTTTATCATATTAAAAATAAATTATTTGATTTTACAGTAAAGTCATCATGTAGATAATGAACTCTGCATCATATGTTTCTCTGTTTGGCAGTCACAATGCCACGCGCACAACCTAAACAAGAGATGACAATCCTAGCACGTTGCGCTGTTTCTGTTATTTAATTCCCGAATTAGCTTAAGAACACGAAAACTGCCAATAAGCAGTATATAAAATGCTGAAGCATCTTGTACGATGGCGGCTGGGCAGCCAACTGCTAAAGGGAAGTGCTACGCCAGTCAGATACGCATCCGAATCCACCAGCGGAGGAAACCTACTAACCGGCATTGAAGAAACGCCAAAAAAAATCGTAAATCCATTTTCACAGCCCTCTCCAGCATTGAGTAATGTGGCGATATCGGAGACCAAAGAGGATCGGGAGAAGCGTCTAAAGGTGCTCCAGCTGGAGGCGGACATTGCCCACCAGGAAGGACGCCGCGTGCCGGCACTGGACTTCTTCCAGGACCACCACTGGGAGCACGTGCTGAGTTTGCCCACCAAATCGGCCCGAATCAAGTACTTTGGCTATCTCTGGCAGATCGAGATGAGGAAGGAGTCAGAGCAGCGGAAGAAGGCTCAGCGGGCGGAGGACACTGAAAGGCGGAAGGAGGAGATGCGCAAGGAGCGCGAGGAGAACACGCACATCATTTACGGCCTGGGTCACACCTCCATGTTCCTGCGCATCTATGACACCACAATGAATCATTTTCAGAACAACCGGCTGACCCGCGCCATGCAGTTTGCCCCTAAGATAGTTTTGGATTGCTCCTACGACGAGCACATGAATAATAGGGAGGCTTCGTACGCTGCCAAACAACTCATGCTGTGTTTCGCCGAAAATCGGCTCAATGACGAGCCCTTCGATCTACACTACTGTAACGCCCAGATGGAGAGTACGTGCATGAAGGGCCTCCAGCGCTACATCCCCACCATGCTTAACCCCGAATTTCCGATGAACCTTCACTCCAAGTGCTTTACGGAGTTGTTCCCCAAGGAGAACCTGGTCTACCTAACACCGCATTGCCGCGAGGATCTGGTCACCTACAATCCAGATGACATATACGTCGTGGGTGCCATGGTGGACACAATGAACAACGAGCCATTGTCGCTGGCCAAAGCCAAGCGATTGGGTCTGCGAATGGCGAAACTGCCCCTGGATCGCTACCTGCAGTGGGGATCCGGTTCGGGTAAATCCCTTACTCTCAACCAAATGATCAACATCATGCTGGACCTCAAAAAAACCGGTAACTGGGAAACGGCACTGAAGCATGTTCCCCGGCGAAAGGTCATCGAGAATGAATTCCAGCAACGCAGGGAGAAAAGTCACTGGGGTACGGGCACGAAGGCCAGGAAGCTCAATATTCGAATCGATCACCTGCTAGACTTTGAAGAGGATCGTCGGCAGGCTACGTCATTTGCAACGCCCCAAAAAGTCAGGCAGAGACGGGAGGGCATGGAGTTCCAACTGGACACCTGGGCCACGGGAAAGCAGAAGAAAAAGCAAAGACAAAATTAAAGTTACCTGTTGTATTCATTCAATTGTAATTTTATTTCAGTTCAGATGGTAGATGCGTTACTTTGGTTGGATTGACTCTTCTGCCTCTACTTCCCTTTTAATCGCTGATACAGTTTGATAATCAGATGGAATCTCTTCTATAATCAGATTACGATCATTTCCAGAAGCATCGTCAGCATCTACATCGTTATCTATACCCGGAACACTTTCCGGCTCAAGCTCCAGCTCATCTTCTCCGTCATCATTATCAGTCTTCTTGTATTTGAGCCACATGTTTTTGGCATTAATGGCCTGGTAGTTAATGGCTGCCTTGAGGCCAGCCTGCTTCATCAGCTCCTTGGCATTGGCTTCAAACTCCTCCACAATAGCCTTGCGCTCCACGGTCATCTGTTTGGTCTCCTGCACGAAAAGCGCTTGCGTGCGCAGTGCCTGGAAGAAGTCCTTGCTCAGGAAAGTGTAGTAGTTATAGGCCACAAAGGCAACATCAAACATGTTATTCCAGCGAGCAGCGCCCTTCTGCAGTTCGGCCATTTCCAAGGGCGACACATAGTGCACTGTGACTCCGGGCACCTGGATCCAGGGTTTATCGTAGGACGCCTGCCCCGATGCATCCTCTTCCTGGTGGGTGAGTAACGGCGTCATCAGCAGCCGAACGGATCCGTACTTCCGGGAACGCGTGGGATCATGTTCGTAGGGGGTCTGGGTCTGCAGCTCATGGAAGAATTCCAAGAGGTTGCGCTCCGTTATGTCAGTAGACCGATAATCATTATCCCCATGCACCGAGTGATGCATCCGCTCCTCGGCGGTGCGCAGTCCGAATCCACAATACGGACCCGTCTGGATATCGCCCACATAACCACGATGCATGAATGTTCGTCCATCTCGCACCAATCCAGCCGCCAGAGTTTTGTTCGGCTTGCACTGCTCATATTCCGGAAAAACAAAAGCCACGCCCGAATCCCGCCAGTAGCGGTACTCCTGCGAACAGATCTGCTGTCCTCCACGACCCCATAGGGTCATGCTTATATCCCAGTCAAAGAGCCCAAGACGATGATCGTACCGTGTGCCCAGGAGAGCCCTCACTCGCCTCTGCCAATAGGAGGTCATCTCAAATACATTCCAAGGATCTGGCTGCCAGAAACTAAAGGCCATCTCCAAACCATCGCGCTCTTTGTACTTTAGTCCCTCAATATTCAGCATGGGAGCCAGTTGCTGCAGTTTTTCATCATCGGTGACCATTTGCAGCAGAGTGCGCCCCTTGGCGGCCATATAGTGATGTGAGCTGGGCCGGATCACAGCATTTCCGTAGAGGTCCATGTACAGATGCACCTTGCCCACCAGGCTAAAGGACTCGGGATCCTCAAGGGCTACTCCCAGTAGCAGCATACTCCTGGCTGCAATTTCGGAACAGCCATCCAGCACATATATGTTGAGTTTGGGTTGATTGCGATGGGTGTATCTCTTGGCCAGAGTCTTAATCACATGACGTGGATCAGCTCCGCCGCAAATGAGAATGTTTATGCTTTTTTGTTGATCATCTCCTCCTGCGCCTTCCACTTTTTCGCTCGAATCTCCTTCCTCCGGCAACGGATCATCCTTGATCTTAAAGGCCTTCAGGTACTCCTCGTACAAATCCAATGCCGGGCTCAGTCCCCACAACATATTAATTTTATTTGGATTTAATTTTTAACAAACTCAGATCTACCTTGACTTATGTATTTTGTTGTACTAACCGCTCTGAGCTCCGTTTCGCTTTTCATTTGATTGATGGTAGTTGCCAGGACTACTTGTTTTCGCCGTTGTCCCCAGCAACGTCTTGCTCCTGCGTCAGTACCTCATTTGCGTGCATCCGTTGCGGGGATTAGGGAGCTGTGGCAATCATAACGGAAATTGCTTTCGATATCAGTGGCTTGCAGCGGGCACTGGACAAATGGCTCCTCTTGGAGGGATGTGGCACCATATACCATACCAAAAAGGGCGGAGTGAATGGGAAATGGCGGATAATGCATTATTCAGACTTGGTCTTGGCTGTTTGCTTTCAGCTGATTGGCAAGGCGAGCAGCGTCAAATCTATCGGGGATTGCTCTTGGATTCATAATTGTACCATTTCCTTTTCTAAAGGAAAGTCTCAGCGGGAATGGTCAGGGGAGTCTTAATGGAAATTTTGAAAAGTAATGTTCAAATGGGTTGATTTTACTAGTTTAAATAATAATTATTATTATGTATTTATTATTTATTTAGTATGTTTGACTGAATCATTTTTAACATTACTGTATAATTTGCCAGATATTTAGAAAATATAATTCTCAAACTACTCTCGTCTTTCATATAATAAAATGTCTTTATTTTGTAATTTTTCTTTTTTACAATAGTTCGCTAAACGCGAACCAAAGCGAGATAAAAGATATTGCGTCTGGATTTTTGGAAGGTTTTTCTTTTTTATTGTTTGCCTGCGGGAAAATCGTTGGTGGACAAATGGATTTAAGGCCCCCGGCAAGTGGCTCACTTAATCCAGATACTTTGCTGTGTTGTGTTAGTTTTTTATTCAGCCTCAATTCTGTTTTTCGTGTCTCTCTTTTTGCTTGCTAACTTTTACTTGACAATGTCTGAAAGTTCCTAATACATGGTTAAGTCTTCGCCATAAAGTTTCCCGACTGTTCAGAATGCCTTTCAAATGTTTCTCTGTTTCTCTCGTTATACGCTGCGTATGCGTGATTTGACGATGATAGCAGGCAAAGCCAGAAGCTATATGTATGTATTCAGCTGTGCCTAAGTGAAAGCTTAAAGTAGTACACCGAGGAGAAAAGTGAATGAACTTTTTTTTGTAAAAAAAAAGTAATTTATTTTAAAGAAATAAAGATCTCCAAAAAATATCCTTTGGTAACTAAGTAAAAATTAAAAGGTTTTCCTCGTGAATTTTTTATTTAATGAAATATATTTATTTGTAATTACAATACAATAATTTAATTAAATTATTTGATTTTCAAATTAATGTAATTATATTTCAAGCCAAAATAATAACAATCATTTGTTCAGTGTAGGGGAAATTAGAGGGAGGTAAGTGCACATTAGAAGTCGTTCAGTGCTTTGTGTTCGGCTGCAATTATTCGGCTCCGAGCAGGAAAAATCCATTCAGATGAACAAGTATGATGTGGAGGCATTTTGTCGAGCCTTCCGCAGCGTTAAAATTTTTAAGATTTTTTTCGGCAAAAGATTGTGCCGCAGGCGAATAAAGGCTGTCATTAAATTCCCCGAAAAACCAAAAGCTGAGTTTTGGGATTCCCTTCGAGGTCTGAGGGAAGTACCATTGGATTTGTCTGCGGTTCAGTGGGTTCAATTCATCAGGCCTTTTCTACTTTTCCTATGGCTTTCCGTCTCTACCAAAAAACAAAAGTAATTAGATACCAGAGCAGAAAAAGGGTTGACCCAGGCTCACTATTTTTCACGTTTCTTGGTGGGTTATTTAACGAGCGTATGGGCATTGATCACAAAACCTATGTATGTGCTATGAGAATGGGTTCTCCTTTATTGTGGAATTGTGCCAGTGGCTGTGGACCTGTCCCACATACACCCACTCTTATCAGCAGCATTCATTGTCAATGCTTTCCGCAAACTTTTCTCATTAGACAGTGCAAACAAAATGGCTGCGTCTGCGGTTTTATCCACCCAAAATCCCACCCACGATGCGGATGCCTGCTGATGTGGACGCTTTGGCTTTTGTTTGACATTGGCTTGGCAAATGGTGTCATAATGGCCGGAGAACTGCAAACAAACAATAGCTGCCGACAGCGCGACAGATGGGCCGAATAATGAAGAGAGAAAGATGAAAGCCGTGCATAATGGAACAAGACAGGGAAAACTGATTTAATTGTGGCCAACTCGATGCATGTGTCTCCGGCTGAACATTGACCCACAAAACCATTCATCTAGATTTCCGAAAAATAATTAATTAAAATCTTATTGCTCGTAGTTTGCTGTCCTACAGTAAATTAAAGACTAAAACCTGGTTATGTGTTTTACCTTTTGCTGATTTGTAGTGCAGTCCTGAAACAAATCAAGTTGTAATGTCAGAAGAACAAAACAAAATAATGAAGATATATGTGTTTTGTACACTTTAGTAAATTATATATAATTTTATTTCAAATCATAGTGATAAATTCATTAGCTGTTGGTTTATTCAGCTAAAAGATATAAGTCCAATACAAAATATAAAGAAAAACTCACTTTAAGTTTTGCTGTTCTCCAGAAAAGTTGAGTTTAATTTCGAGTTAATAGACATAGACAGGGTGTACATTTATCAGTGTGTTTATTCGATATCGCTAACCGATTCCGTTGCCGTATCCGTTTCCAGATGCATAGTTCCTCGGGAGATGCTCGTGGCTCAGCTACAAAGGTGGACACTACACTAAACTACATAGACGTTAATTGCTTATTTGTAACGAAGTTTCACTTGTGGCATGCATAGAAATATCCAGTGTAGAAATATCCATTTGTCGTTCTCAGTTTAGATTTGCTTTGTGGTTGTTTATTAGTTTTTTCGTTCCAGGCTAGAACCTCTGATTGTCAGGAAGTTATTGAAGTTATATCCGAGGGAAGTGCAAGCCCGTGACCCGAAAAAAGTGCGTTTTGAATTGAGGTCGAGGTAATACTAATTCTACTGCGAACATGGGAGCTTAATATATATACATTTGCTTATTTTCATATTTATTCATCAATGTGTTGTCTTTGTGCTTGTGTCAGTGTGGTTTTGTTTTGTTTTGTTTTCTTGTTTTCACTTGTGTTTTTAAGCATAGTTACGCTTTTTACCCCTTCAGAGAGCTTGTATTTGCATATCTCATTTGAACAGATTCTAAGTTATTGCGTTATTGCGTCAATACAATCAGCATTTAGCTCGGGTTTGGTAGGTACATAAAACACTCTACAACAATAAAATGTCTAAATTGGCTCACTTAATCCTATAATTCCTACAAAGTCTGAGACGGTGGTTTATCAGATTTAACTATGTTATGTTATTGGTTTACATCTACACAGAGAAATGGGAGATGGGTTATTTGTTACGCTCGTCTGCCCACTTATTGCTTGCCAGTGCCATTGCCATTGTGGATAAGTACTCCATTTAATTGAGGCTGCCTTAGGTCTTATCCCTTGTGGTATCCTCCTCCTCCTGAAGCGAAATGATCTGCGTAAATCGACAACAAATTCGGAATGTTCTTTAGATTGTCTGCGATTACACTGGCATCGGTCTAGAGTGACATGCCCAACACCGAATTACTTGCTGGCATCTACGTTCGTTCACGTCCAGCTCTAATAGCAATTGCCAAATAAACGTTACTTGCACGAGACATCAAAGCAAAGGCTTTCGCTGCGGCCATTGGCCAAATCAAGATATGGTTAAGCTCTATAAACTGACTCTAGTGGTTCGGCTAAGGGATATGTGTCATTGCGACCTGGTGGTATTGCATACTTACTTGGTTGCATCCAGCTGGCCGTGCAGAGGTCGTTTTTTTTTGTTTTACTTTGCGGTTATAAATATATTCTATTTTACGAGTTATCTATAAACTGTGTAGAATTCTCAAAAGTGATTTTCAGCATTTGCATTTGAGGTATGCCCGTATATTCGAAAGGTAAGTGTGTCTATGCCCTAGTAATAACAATGTGATATCTTAGCCTAACGTCATAACGTCCTATCCCCACTGAAAGAAATCGTCGAAGTCATCTAGAAACGAAATTGAACCGAAATTAGCCAGATTGGGTTAGTCAATTTTGGGGTGCCGTTCTGTGGTGGGTTCTTGCAAAGTGCTCTATATACGGTGAACTAGCTTCGATTTAGAAAATACTGGAGATAACATGCCAATCGAGTGGGGAAACTTATCTAAATGGTTTTCTTTTATTGTTGAGGGTTTTTCTTTTATATTTTATAGTATTTATTCACGCTGCCGTTGGCTACTGTTCCGGTTGCAGTTGTTTATGGGAGCAGTGAGCTGCGGGAACTGGTTTTCGAACTGTGGGCGGTGGCTGTTGGTTTTTGGTGGTAGTGGTGGTGGTTCATTCGGAGTTGTGGTTCGGATAATTGGAATGGAAAATGGGAACTTCATTTTCATTTTTCTTTTTTTTTTTCATTTTGGGTTAGCAGCAGAATTGTGGCCATACTGGACAACAACTTTAAACGGAACGAGTATTTAAATATGCAGGAAGATATATAAATATATATACACCGAGAGAGCGTAAAACGTTATAAAATCGAGAGGAGTCGAAAGTGAAAACATATACTTAGAGAACGAAAGCGAATAACACTTTATAGTACACTTATGAATATGGTACACAGGCTCAAGTTCCGTCTTGGTTTTTTTCGGGGTTTTCGTATTTGTTTCTTTGGCTGAAAGCAAAACATGCCTGAGGAAGATGAATGAACTTAACGTAGGACTTGGAGAACAATCTGCTTACCTCACTGGAACCCATGGGAACAACCCACCCACAAGTCCTGACCCCATTCGAATCGATTCAATTCGATTCGATTCGTTTTCGCTCGACTGGAATTGATTGCTTTTAATTTGCTCAATTTATTAACCGGCCAGCGATGAGCTGGTCTCTTGTTTGCTTATCGACTTAATCGCGTTGCGAATTTATTGATTGCAATTTTATGCATTGGCCAGTGCGAAATGAGCACAACCACTGGCCGGATGAGCACTTAATATTCATGATGCAGCCATTTACTCGAATGCCATTACAGTCGAAAACACGCTGAGTTGCCTTGTCATTACCTGGGGTAAAACTAATTATAATTAACAATGGAAAATGGCATCCACGCACTCATTACAACGTTTTTACATGTACATGTCCCAATCACCATTTAAACTTTGAGTTTACGAGTTTCTTTAAAGTTTGGTATGGGTTAAAAACTGACAAAAAAGTTCTAGGAAGATTTGTATCAAAATTAAATGTAGATTTCATCAAGAATCTTAAAGTTTAATAAGCAGATGAATAGATTTCTTCTAATTAACTCAGAGAATTTACCTTATATCCAACATAAGTTAATTTCGATTTTAATTTAAAACTTAATTTCAATGTCCAACATGAAGTAAATTAGATTTAAATTACTTAAAAAAATTATTAAAAAAATCCAATACCTTTTATTTTTTTACAAACCAATCTATGTTAAAACTGTCATAAGCTCTTGAAAAACTGTTGGGGAAACACTTTAACAGCTTTTTTCTAATTGTTAGGGAGTGATACTTGAACAACTTAAAGGTTTTAAAGAACTTTTTAAACAAATTCAGCTGCACCCATGAAAAAAGTATTTATAAACTGCCTAGCATTTACTATAATTGACCAAAGTTCAGTCTTTGTTTTCAAGAGTGTACTCACCTGGACACAGTTTCCGGACAATTTGATCATAGATAATTGGGTATAATTGAACGAGCAATCAAAATAAAACGAAATAAACCTTGTGGAAATTTATTAAAATAAATATGTTAAAGTTGACTAACGGCGAAAAACTACGCATGGCCAAAACTACGGACAGAGGGTGGCAAAAGGGGTGCTGTAGAACGGAAGTGGTGGTGTGGTGGTGCAGAGTGGTGGTGTTGGTGGTGGTGTGGCTGTTCAGTTGGGTCGGTGGTGGAGTGCCCGCCTGTCGTCATTGGGCCACACAGTCATTACAGTTGGCCGTGGGATCGGGGGTGCTGTTATTCGAATGGGAATTGCCGGAATCCCGGAGAGGGTGACCCCGACTGGACTCGGACCGTTGGCCGGTGGCCTTGTGGCACAGGAGTTGCCAGCGGCGCTGCCAGTAGGAGGCCTTTTTGGCCAGAATCTGCTCGCTGCCGGCCACCTCGATGTGGCCCACCGATGCCCGACTCGACTGCGGATGCAGGATCAGATCCGTGCGCAGCTGCTGCACACGGCGGACATCGTAGTTCTCCACCACAATGATGGGCATGGGTCGTGGTCGTGGATGGGGTCGAAGTGGGTCGGGCGGATTCAGCCGGATGTTCGGCTGCAGGGAATGGCAGTTCCGCTGGCGACGCCAAAGGCGAGACTTAAGACTGGGCCAGTGGAGCAACTCCCGCAGGGATATCCGTTGCGGGGATTCGGAAGCGGCGGGACCTGGCGCTACGAGGAGATCCCTGACCAGGTCAGGAGCCACCACACCCCCATCCGTACTCTGTCCGAGGTCGTGGGTGTCCAGCCGCAGGCTGCTGCTGTCCTGCGAGTTCTGTGGTGGTGGTGTGCTCACATAGAACTTGGTGCGGCCGGAGCGACGTGGCGCCCGCAGGCTGCTGGTCTTCCATGCATCGTGCAGGGATCGGAGGCCGGGCAAACGTGCAAGGAGGTGGATGTTATCGTAGGAGGCGGACAACATACCTGCGCGCTCGTCCTGGTACTCGTCGTCATCCGACGATTCGAGCCGGTCCTCCACCAGCGATGTTTGCCTCGAGAGACCCTGTTAGGGAGTTCAGATTGCACATTGCATGTTGCATGTTGCATGTTGCACATTGCAGATTGCACATTTCAGATTGGTGTGTAAGCAAACAGAGACGAAGCGAAATGAAACGAAAAGAAGGAGACGGAACAAAAACTGAAATGGTGAGCGCATCTACTACGAGTACCAAAGGATTACACACACTAAAGCGAACTGCAGCTAAGGTCCTTCCATTTGCTCCTTCCAAGAGAGAGAGTGAGCCTTTAATGGAGACCACTGACTTACCGCATTGTGACGCCTTCTGGGCGGCGATCGCTTGTTCCACAGCGCCTCCAGTTGGTCAAAGTGCTGCGATTGGGCCAGAGCCGCCTGCTCCGGCCCCAGATTCGCCTGGGAGGCTCCGGTCTTGGTCTCGGCAATCTTCGAGATCTCCTCCATGCTGGCCGACACACTGAAGCGGCGCTTCAGTCGCTCATCCACCTGGGCCATCATCACGGAGGAGGTCAGGTGGCCGTACTTCTTCTGCCAGGTGTACGTGTCCAAGGAGACCTCCTTCTTCAGCAGCCGCTTCATCTGCCGCTTGGGACCCTGCGGTCGCAGATCTGCAAGGATATGTCGTTTAGATATTTCTAATCGCTGTATTTACTTAGTTTTTAGTAAATAAGTAAAATCATCGCTGGAGTAGAGTAGTAGATGGAGTAATACTCTTGGGACTTTTTGGGTTTTATTTTGAATAACGATGTATTCAATATTTAGGGAGGGGAGGGAGGTCAAAAATTGCCACAACTCTGATGAAGTAATATATGGATGGCTCCTGAGAAGTTATGCTTATGTGTTACTTAAGTGTATATATATCACATAAGTAAAAGTTAAGAAATAAGTCTTACCCTCTACATCCTTGCTGGGACCCGAATACGTGGGCAGCTTGACGTACTGCGCCGGGGTGTTGTGCAAACAGATCACGGGCATATTGTAGCTATCCACCAATTGGACCAGGACTCGGGATACCTCCAGACTGATGTCGAAGTTGGTGAACGCCACATGCATTTGGAGCGAGGTAAGAGCTAATCCACGCTTGGTCTCCCAAACGATGAGTGTCTTGTCATCGCTTCCGGAAACTGCAGTGGAACCTGTTGACAAAAAAACGGTTTAAACCAATAAGTTAATAATAATATCTTTGATTTTAGAGAACCAAATAACTATACAAATATTAAATGATCTCACACCCAACTCACCATCTGCCGAAACTTTAACTCCAATGACAGGACCCAGATGTCCTGCCAAAGTGTGCACCTCCTCGCCGGTGAGCAGGTCCCAGAGGATGAGATTCATGTCCTTGGAGCCGGACAGCACCTGGGTCTTGTTGCTCACCGAAACGGCCACGCAGGTGACGGCATCGCTGTGCCCCACCAGCACCTGGCTGAGCTTACCGCCCGTCGCCTGCCACACCTTCAAGGACATGTCCCGCGATCCGCTGATGATGTGGGCACTATCTGCACTAATCTCGAAGCAGGTGATCTCATCCGAGTGCGAAACGGAGTACTTCTCGTCCTCCTGCGTGAGGGACCAGATCTTGAGGGTGTTATCCCCATTGGTGGAGGCGGCAAAGCGCATGTTGTTGGTCACGGCCAGACTTTTGTAGGGACCTTGAATGGTCTGCAGTAGATTGCCCGAGTGGGCCATCCAAACAAGAAGCAGGGAATCCCGATCCGTGGAGATTACCCGTAAGGAGTCCATCAGGACCACCACCTTGACCACTGGTGCAGCATGTCCCTTAAACGAATGACTGATCTCACCCTGAGCCAGGTTCCAAATGAGCACCAATCGATCCTCGGATCCAGTGGCCAGGAACTCGCCATTCGGCGCAAACTTTAGGCAGGACACACCCGCGGCATGTCCATCCAGAGTGCACTGGTACTCCGGCGTATTGATCCTCATCAGGTGGACACTCCGCCCGGAGGCGATGGCCATTTGCTGGGAGTCGCGGGACAAATCGAAGCAGGTGATCGGGGGCAATGTGGTCGATGGCGATCGCTGAGCCTGCGCATGCCGCTTCAGGCTGCGTTTGCGGCGCGGATGACGCGAGTAGGGATTCACGTAGAGCTCCTCGTTGCGGAACGAGTAGAAGGTGATCTTGTTGCCACCGACGGTGACCAGGAAGTCGTCGTTGTCCATCGCATGCACTGCGGTCACTGGACCGGGATTTGGGGGCATGGATCTTACCAATTTTCCGGCATGCATGTCATAGATCAACGCCCGTGTATCATCGCAGCCTACCACACACCGCTGACTGTCCTTTCCGATTGAGATGGTTCGAATCTGGTGGTTTTAATACTTAGGATTAACATCCAGGAAGAGGTTACCTCCAACTCACCTTCGACTTGTGTCCCTTCAGAGTATGCAACTCCTTGCCGGTGGCCAGAGTTCGAACATAAAGCGCATTATCCTCACACAAAGCTAAAAGGAAAACCTGAAAGAAAAAAAAAAGAGTTAGCATAATTTTAATATTAAAGTAATATTAAGGACGCACTTTTCAAATTCATAAAAAGGAAAAAACTGTTTTTCCCTCAAAATAATGTATAATTTTTTCCCTCATATACTTTTATTTTAAATTTCAATTTTTAAAAGCCTTTAAATATCATTTTGTGATGACCACTTGAAAAACATTTTTGTGCATATAAAATTTCCGATGGGAAAAGAATGTTGATTGAAATTATTTTTGTTTCATTCTGAGTGATTAATTAATAATATTCCCCATAATTGGGGATTGAGTTCTCTGCACATTAACCGTCGTTGAAGAGGTAATCGAAAATTAATAAATTGCATTTTATCCGGCCAGTGACAGAGGCTGAAATATTTCAATTTAAGGCCAGCTCACAGGAAGCTTTCCCAGGGGGCGGGTGAGGGGCGTGGCCGGGGCAGTGCCGTGCCACGAAGCCATCAGGATGCAGGCCAAAGAGCAAGAAAGTTGATTTCCTTTTGCCATTTTCCTTGGCTAAGAATCCTGCCCAAGGGGCTCCTCCCCACAAACTAAAGTGCCCTCGTATATGTATGTATGTAGTGCCCACAGAATCTGTATGCATGTATTCATGGCTGTGTGAAATTACATTTCAATTTGGGAAAGGAGGAACCCTCGCCCAACAGGAGATGTCCTTGTTATCGCGAAACAATTTTTCCGCCTGCTTATAGGCAATTTTCCCTCAATTTTCACCAGCACTTTTGTTTAATGTGTGAAATTGTATTTTCCGTTGCGGCAAAGGACACCACGAGTTTTTCGATCTGAAGGAGCCCACCAAAGTCCATGGGTAATTGAATCGCTCTCCAGGTCTATTTCTTACCTTTGTCTCTGGCTTTTCAGTTTTGTTCTGTTGTCTGAAATGCGAGATGGCTTTGGCACTCGGAGAAATAGTATTTTTTCATTTTGGAACTTTGATTTTTAACATGTTGTAATCGGTATAAATAACTTAAAATGTTTAGGGAGCAAACTAACATATTTTTGTAGGGGTATGATATAGACATATTTAACATCGTTGAATATATAATTTAATAGTTTATTTCTTTTATTTAGTTTTAAGTCCTGGTCACTATCACTGCTGGCTATCAACTGATCTCGCTCTCCGCTCACAACTCGCACCAACCCCCAACTCTCTGATAGAGTTTAAGAGTGATGAGAGCAAGAGAGAGCCCAGCGAGAGCAAGCTCTACAACAACAACAAGGAAGGAATACAGTAACTTATACAAAATAATAGATAGCAATCCTGCTACATTTTTTAAAAAGAGAGGATAATAGAGAGGATTACAAATCACAAATTAGTATTAAAAATGAAAGCTCCAAAACTTAATCATACTTGTGGTCAAATCGGAACTTTAAAATCCACAGGGACCACTTTTTTGAGTGCATTAACTGCTGAGTGGTATGTGTTATCCGAGGAGATTCCCTTGAGCCAGGAGCTGCAGCCAAGGCGCACCTTGAATTACAGTTGCTTTTTCCTGTTGTCTGTCTATTGTGGATTTGCTGGAGCAGACCAGATGGATGGGGCGGTGCTTAAGGAGCGGGAGACAAGTGGAAGCACGCATCAATTGCCAGGCGTTGGGATTGGATGGGAATGAGGATGGGAATGGGGATGGGATGGGAATGGGGATGAGTATAAGATGAGATGAGATGGGGACACGGCACAGTTGCCATTGACAAAGGACGTCAATGTCGGGGAGTCGGGAGTTGCCCGCCGGTATCTTGATATTATTTTGCGTGCCAAATTGCTGCTAAGTATGCAATACTTATTGATAGAGGCAGGCACGAACCTACACATACACACACACACACACACACTTCTGGTTTTTTGTCAAGCTGATTGACAACAAAGGATTTGGCGCGTAATGCGTCCCCAAGCCGAAATCACTTATTAGAATTTCCACCGGAAAAACCCCACCCCCGCATGAAGTTGCCAAGTCACCCAGCTTTATCTGTCATATCTCAGCGAATCTATTTTCTCGTCCATCCATTGTGTTTAGCTTTAAACTTGCAGGATTTCAGTCTTTTTCCATGTCGTCTCTGGCGTTTATGTTCCTTTAAATTGCGCTTTTGCGTTATTGGGTTACTTGGGACGCTTCACTCAAGTGGAATATGGCTTAAAGCTTGGCATTCTCTTTTTGCGTTCTCGCTTTTTATTATATATTTTTCTGTCTCGAGCGCAGGAATTTCTTTTAAAGCTTTGCAGCTGAGCATGATGAGCAGGGAAATCCCCTTAAGGACTCAACTTTTGTCTTTGCCAGAAGTTTGTTTCGTTAAATTTGAAAAGCCACATAAAGGGCGGGGCGTGAGTATGAGCTGAGAATTCACCAAGGATGCACTTGTCGAATTTAAGCTAAAAAAAACCCTTTTTCTCAATTAATTTTGGGCTTGCGAACTCACCGAATTCCAGGAAATGTCAATGCGGAGCACGGGACTCGTCATCTGCATGGTATTCAGCAGGGAGAAGTTCTCCAGGTCCCACACGCAAATGGTCCTGTCGTGACTGCCCGAGATCAGGACATCGCAGGCCCCGGCTACCAGGATTCCACTCACCGGCCCGCGGTGATGGGTGATACGATGTCTCTGGAAAAACAATTGAAAATATATAGTTTTAAAAAGGAAAATTATAAGAAACACCGACAAATTGTACGACTAATTTCTTTTTATAATCGCCTAAAAATGTAACCGAAAAAACATTTACATAAACATCACAAATAACACTTCTTTTACTTTAAAAAAGATTTTCACCTTTCCTTCCAAAAAAAAAAAGATAGTTTACTTTGTTTACCAATTGGCCTGATTTTTATGCAATTTGTAAAAAGTAGTATATACAGTTTTCTTTGTTCCCTTATTTGTATATACTTTGTGGATAAGAGTATGTTATTTTTGACGTTTAAAAATAAAAATCACAGTATTCTTTTTTAAATAAAAGTCTCAGGTCTCTGAATAAAATGATTTAGGTCTGACACACAAAAAGGAATCGGAGGCTAATGAAAATGAAAGTGAGTATTTCCAAGTCCCACGAGACTTCTGAAGGACCTTTACGTGTTTTGTTTTCCACACACAAAATTTGATTAGGAAAGGGACAGTTGCTTTATCATCTAAGCTCATCGAACGCTACTAATCGATGTGGTTTTAAATATTAATCACTGGTAGTGGAGGGGAAGCTTTGTTACCAACCGACTTTGACTTGGCTTGCGTGTCACATGTGGTACCCTCCATTTTTTTTACCCCTGTTGTTTGTCACATTTCGTATGCATTAAGTTAATTACCACCTAGCATGCCAAGTTCCTCTTCCCAGGAAGCGGTTGCGGAAAATGCCAAAAGTTTGATAAATTACTTGATTACTTTAATAAAAGCAAAAAACCGCCGGCGACATGAATGGAAATGCCGGCATGACACGGCGTATACGTTATATCGTAATTAATTCAATAAGTGCCCGCAACTGCAGGTGTGTGTGTGCGTGTGTGGGTGTGTGGGGGTATGTGTCGCACTTCCGGTTCTAAAAAAAGAGTATTGCACCCCTGTCTAGAGTAGCGGAAAAATGGTGTAGGGCTTGCAGCAGCTGAGTCAGCGAAATTGACTTTAAAATATGCCCGGGGCCAACCGAGTGGCAATAAATCTAATTTCTATATGTGTGTCAACAGGACGACGACAAGGACGAGAACAAGGACACCGTGTTTTCCCCCCACGCCAACACACACCCACGCCAACACACACCCACACACACATCCACATACACACATGCTTGATATGCAAACATGGGGCATTGTGGGTAATCACAGTTTAATGTGTGCGTCTCTGAAATATCTACTTAGCATGACTTATGGCGGGGCGGAACCGGAAAAGTGGAACAGGACACCACCGGCAGCCTCCTGCCACGGTTCATTTGCCAGGCCGCGGAATGTGTAAACCCTTGTTCAACAAACAGCACACACATGCCAGCCAGATGGCATACACCCAAGCCGACCCCAATCCACAAATTCCCACCCATTCCCACCCACTCCCACCAATGACCTTGCCTTCTGTTTAATGAAAGCATGCAGCATAGTTAGGTGGAATTTATTTTGGGCCAGAGAAATTATGCAAATGCATTCGGTCTGTTTGATCTGGTTTGCGGCGAGGTTTTGCAATTAGCTTCGGCAAATGTACTTTTCATTGCCCAAAATGAAAAGCGTTCGACGCATTTCAAATAGAACTCAAATAATAATTTATTAAACCAAGCGACATGTTGTTTGCTCTTATTTAACAAGAGTCAATCGATTTCAATTACAGCAAATTGAAATAAATGTGTAAAATTGAAAAGTTTTACATAAAGTTGTGAACTTTGGTCGAATAATTGTAAATAAATTGTTAGTTTATGGAGAAGACTGAAGCTATCAAAAGATAGCAAACAAGAGAAGCCAAGCATTTGGGTCAAGACAATAACGCTGTCTTTTTGCCTGTCTGAATTTTGACATTTTCTGTAAGCTTGCTTTCTTTGTTTTAAATTACTTCTGTGTAGTGCGACATTTAATGTACAACTGTCATTTAAATTTTAGAAGGGTAGAAGCTGATAAAGAAATAACTTGTTTTCTTACATTGAAAGAAACTGTAAAATTTACTTTAAGAGTATTCCTTTAAGTTTTGTACCTAAATTTACAGCTTGCTAACTAAATATTACAAAAAGCACTCCCAAACAAGCATTATTAACTCATAAAGAAATAGCTTTTTAACTAATATTAAAAGAAACTGTAAAATTTCCCTTACAAGTATACCTTTAAGTTTTGTACCTACATTTACTGCTTGCTACTTAAATATTACAAAAAGCACTCCCAAGCGGCCATTATTAACTTTAATAACACTAAATATTTAAGGGCCTGATTTTGGTCAACCAAACTATGGTTTTTACGTATGAACAAATTTCAGTACCGCCACCGCATAAAACGTTTACAAATTAATCCATGCATGAAAATTCCTTGAAAAGCTTCATATAAAGTCGCCATTGTCCCGCTTTTAATTCGCTGGAAATTACCATTACGTCCCCCATTTATTGCTACATGTCTGGGCCATTGTGTTTGGGTTTGCTCACCAGTTTGCCGCTGGCCAGGTCCGTGATGGCGATGGTTGCATCCTCGCTGCTGCTTATGATGAGCGTGTTATTGACGCCAGCTGCCACGCCCGTAATGGGAGCCGTGTGGGCGTTGCTAGGATAAACGGAGAAACGGAGAAGCGGAGGATGTTTAGATAAATTACGCCTGCAGAGATTTACAAATTACGCTCGAGGCGACGAATGGGAAAATGGGAACGATAAAGAGTACACAGTGACATATGAAGTCCATTAATCAAGGAATAGAAATAAACGCTTCTAAAGTCAGCAGAAAAGTGATGAATTAATTAAATTTAAATGGCATGAATTATTAGTATTTCTTGTGTGAATGATTTTATAAATAAATATCTGTGGTTCAGAAATGCTTAATATTTTGTTATGCAATATAGGTTATATTATAAAATAACAAAAATACTTTTTGAGCTTTTATTTTGAATATTATACTTTATATAGATACTTTATATATATATTACTTTTTTTCATTTTTTGTGATTTTATAATTTGATTATTTATTGAACAATAAATCTTCTAATATATTTTTAAATATTTACAAATCTCGTAATTATTGAAGAATTATGAAACAAAGACCATTAAAGCAAGGAATTCACTCATACTTATTTTAATAAGTGTATTTTGATAATTTAAAGCTAAAGAGGGTTTTAGTTTTTCTTAAAGAAATCCCCTTTTTCTCTTAGTGTACTCACTTAATGTGCGCCCGTCGCTCGCGGAACCCTACGTGCCACACGAGCACAGTGGCATCCTCGGAGCCGGTCAGCAGCAACTCCGACTCCGACTGGGGAGCCACCAGGAGGCACGTGACTGCCGCAGTGTGTCCTGCCGCAAATGGAGGAGGAACAGATGTCGGAGATTAACTCGCCTGATGGCGGCACATTCCATTACACCGCACTTACCCTTGAAGATGTGCTCCAGGGAGTTGCTCATGATGTGCCACTGCTGCACGTCGCCGGAATTGGTGGCCAGGATGAGATGCTGCTTGGTGGGCGCCAGCCAGACGGCACGGATGCATCCCGTTCCGGACACCGTCATCGTGCGGATCTGCGAGGGCAGCGGGGCGGGCAGCCAGCCGGTGAGCGGTACGAGGAGCGGCACCGCATAGCCGTCGCACCAGGCGGTCGCCGAGCGGACCGTCATGCTCAGCAGCGAGTTGTCGTCGTCGTCGTGCTCGCTGATCGGACGCAGCCAGGATATCAGCTGGGATCCCAGCTGCATGGGGTCGCGGGTGAGGACATCGCTAGACTTCCGGATCGTGTAGTAGATCAGCTCGATGTCCCTGTCCAGGATGTAGCAGCGCACGTGCTCGATCAGGCAGCGCAGGTAGCTGATCGACACCGTTTGCACCTGGAAAACAACAATAACATGAACATTATTTAAAAATATATAATATTTTAATAGAAGTGATAGTCATGTTAAAAAAATATATATTTCCTTGGTACACTAGAAACGTAGATATAATTTAGAATAGGTTTTATTCCTATCATAATTTTGTCAATAGTATAGTTCTATTTATATTAAAGCTTCTAATAAAATATCTACAAAATAAGCGAAATGAGTCAAGCACTTAAATGCTAAATTAGACTCTTTAATGTAATATGTATAATTAAAAAGTTTTGTTTTAAATCGAATTGCATATTTAGAATCAAAGCCTAATTAGGGAAATGTTTAAGCTAGCAGGTATTGACCCAATTGGTTACTTACTTAAATTTAATTTATAAATTCTTCATTATGCATAACCAATAACTATAATTAACTGATTTCTGAATCTACTTGCTGTTACTTTGACAATACAATAAATGCCTTACTGATATTGATAGAAACATTTACAGCATTGTTTTACTTAAACAATGCACATTGAAACCCAACCCTTTTTCACTTAATGTCAACTAGTGTGCTTTCGATCCAAAGTGGGTTTTTCACATTGGTGTTAATAGAAAGGCAGACTTGACAGCTCTGACATTCTGGTAATAAAGCGACAACAAAGCTGAGTTAATTAAGTAAGATGTCCGGATGGTTCGCTACCCACTTGATGAATTCCTCTTGTTACCTTTTCATATTCCCAAAATACCTTACATATTTCCCATATTTGATATAAATAAAGTCTTCTCAATTGAAGCCCTTTCAATTTAGCCACTTTAAAATGTGTATTTAAGCAGTGTGAAATCAATTGAAATAATTTCGAATTCAATTGGACTGGGCGTTAATTAGATGCAAAATGGTTCATATTTTATTTATGCTTGTTGCACGTTTACTCTATGCACGGTTTCGATGTTTGCCATCGGGAATGCAAATATTGGCAGTTAAAAATTTATCAGAAAATTTATTTCACAAAATGGATACAAAAAAAAAAGAACAAATAAAATCGTTAAATTGATTGGCTCTCATCCAAAACAAAAAAATCAACTCGCACACACGCTCCGAGAGTCACAAAAGTTTAATTGCATACTTTCCCAACTGAATGAAATTAAAATGGAATGAAAATTAAATGAGCTAGATTGCCAAGGGAGATCAGGGAATAATGGCAAATGGCAAATGGCCAACTGCAGTGAAACAATTAGGCAAGCGAATTTAAAGAACCAACAGCTGGCCGAGCTTTGCTTGAATTTTGCATTTTCCGAACCGAAAATCCGCTCAAATTTGATTATCACATTTTACTTTTGTGAGCCTTCTACTGAGCTCGACTTCAGCTGTCTATCTGCCTGTCGTTTTCAATTAAAATTATCCAACAGTTTGGCAGCTTTAACGATTTATTGCAATTAGGCTATTTTCTACACGGAACAAAATGTAGAGCAAACAACAATCTTTACTAAATTACTACATTAAAATAAATAAGCTTGAAGAAAATTTGAAGCTGGCAATAAGTTAAAAGTCTTCTTGAAACTACATATTTTTCAGGTCACTGTACAATTTTACCACATAAATGCTTTTAAATGTAAAGCGATTAAAGGAAACGATTTTTAAAGTAAGCTATTTTCTCTCCTCGAAACAGAAACCAATCTAAGTTCCAACTACAAAACTAAATTTTTCACTCAACGATTTTATTTATGGAGTGACTGGGGCACAATCAATAATAAATAAACCATTTTTCCCCATAATTTAGTTTCACTTCCAGCTTTCACTTCGTCATCTGTGCCTTTGAATGAGCAAATTAACTTTGTGCCCATTTGCTGGTGCTAAATTTTGACATGTAAGCGGAAACTGTCAGTTTGATTGCCAAATTAGCCAGGCAATTAAGAGGAACTCACTGCCGGGGTCCACTGATTGCAGCTCCAGCTGGGAAGGGAAACAAGGACGAAACTAATTGGGGAGCTTACCGCCGCCAGCAGGAAGTCGAAGTTGCAGACAGCGATCTGCTTGAACCGGGTGGTGTCGTCGGATCGCATCAGGTGGTGCCAGCTCTCCTCCACGTGCCGCATGCTGTAGCTGACATCCGCGGCGATGGGATTGTAGAAGGTGGAGGTGTCGTCGTTGTGATGGGTGGACGATGACTTCCGCCCGGCGGAAACGGTGGACACCGCCGACAGCGAGTCCTTCTCGCGCTCCCTCTCCTTCAGGCTGATCACCGACTTGGTCTCGCAGCGATTTGACTCGTTCTCCAGTGTGCTCTCATCCTCGTCCTGCGGAAAGAACAGGTTGGCCAGCTCACTGTGCAGGCTGCGTGTCCTTTGCACGTCCATGTACCGCCGCTTGGCAACCGAGGAGCAGTAGTTGTGCCGCCACTGGATCAGCACCTTGCCGGACATTATCTTGTCGTGCAGGAGCAGCAGTAGGTCTGCCAAGTATCGGAAATAATATTTATGTTTATAAATGTGATTCATTATATGAAGCAACTTGTCTATATTATTTAAGCCACCTGGTGATTAGTGTTAATTAATAAGAAAAGTTTATGTTTTTTTATGAAAGCATAATCAATAATAAATAAACCATTTTTCTCTTTAATTTAGTTCAACTGACAGCTCTCATTTTGTTATTTTTCCATTTGAACCAGCATATTAAATCCCTATGAATTTGTATCTGACGTAAAGAATATATAATATATTTAACTATAATTAAATGTCGGCAAAGTTCATTTCCAAAAAAATATTAAATCGGTTATTGGTAAATAATACACTTATTTAAGTGCCTTTAAGAAAAGACTCAAACATTAAAATCATTATTTTCAGCCTGACATTTTCAGATTAAGGGACTTTAAAATTGGCTGTAGCTATATATAGTAAAAGAATGCAAAAATATTCGCTGAGTTTGGTCAAGAATCTTTAAGAATGTACACAAAAGACTGAAGAAAATATACGTGAAATATATGTTTTAAACTATATCCTCATCCTATCAACCCTTCTCTACACCCATTAACCCCCCCACAATCCTTTACTCACCCATCTCGCGGTGGATCTTCTTGAAGGTGGCAAAGGAGAAGTGCCCGTTCTTGGTCTCAATCAGCGACTCCGGATCGTCGGTGGGCATGAGCAGCTCCAGCAGCTCAGTCTCACTCAGTCCGTACTCGGAGCAGGTGATGTAGGCGGCCAGTCCGCTCACCGCCTGTCGGCCGTAATGCCTTTCTAGCTGGTCGAACTGCTGCTCCACGTACAGGACGAAGCTCACATCCTTGGGGATGCACTGCGGCGGGATCTTCAGCTGGGTGGCATAGTCGCCCAGACTCAGATCGAACTGGTACTCGGCGGACTTGAAGCGATCCCGCTGCATTGGGGTGAACTTGAGCTGCTCCACGGGCGTGGTGGAGCTGCAGATGATCTGAACGTTCCAGGGCAGCGATGTGGGCAACCAGGAGAGTGCGGTGACAATATCGCAGTCCAGCGGATTCAGCAGATGCAAATCGTCGATGAACAGGAACAGCACATCGTTGGCCATGTCCTCCACTTTTCTAAGCAGATTCTGGAACCAGGTGTTGATGTACAGCGGATCGAAGGAGGCGTCCTTGGGCAGATAGCCCTCCGGGATGTTGAAGATAATGGAGATCTGCTGGCACACGACGCGCAGCAGTTCCAGATTGTAGGCGGAGCGGGGCGTGGCCTTGGCAAAGCGGATGACCCGGTGAACGCGAGTGGATCCAAACCAGCTGCCCACCTGGACGTACAGGTGGCTCAGGATGGCGCTCTTGCCGCTCCCATCTGCCCCACAGATGAAGTACGGAGCATGCCGACTGCCATTCCGGAAGTTGGCCATCAGATTCTGGCGGAGCTGTTGTGGCACCCGCGACTCCACCAGAGCGGCACTGTCCGTGTGCTCCCGCAGGATGCGCAGGTGCGTCGCGTGCTCGTGAAAGATTTCCTGGAATCGCAGAAATATACAAAATATATCACTTAAATACAAATGGGACTTACATTTATCTTTATTTTATTTTTAAAGATTAATTTCTGATAAAAAATTTTATGCTTAACATAACTACAATGTACTTTAGAGAGGTACTAAATAATATGATGCCTTTAAGAGCGCAATAATTTTATTCGAAAGCGAACTATTTTTTTTGTTTCATAAAAAATTACTCATGCGCTATGTATGCTACAGGGACTTTGTACAAAAACATTTTTTATTTGATGTTCAACCCTCTCAAACCTTTAACTTCTTTTAATATAAGTCACATTTTTTGGTGGAAAATAAAACCAACTCATTGTTACCTGTACAAAAAGTTAGTATAATATCCGGGTCAACAGTACGTATGAGTGATAAACTTTAAATTCAATGCGCTGCCCTAAAACACATTTATTTCAACAAATATCTTTGGGCATGCAATTGAAAAACGTTTTAAAATCAATTTAAACTAGGTAAACGATTTTATTTAGCTCTTTAAGTATTTGTTTTGCATTTTTACTTTTAAAGTATGAATTGCTTGTTGTTTTTGCACAAATAAATTGTTAGATATTTGTGTACATAAGTGCTCAAATATGCACTTAGATGAAGCCAAGAAACATACATATAACAATTTAGGAGTGAGAAACATGAATCTGTTTAATTATCATGTGATGCCAGCTCTGCAGTAATCAATTATAAACTGTGCCAGGTAACAAGTTTAATCAACATAATTCACAGTCCGTTTATCAATTTCACATATCAATTAGATAAGTTGATTTTAGGAGTTAAACCAACGTATGCATAATTATTAAATGCGTTAAATATGCTTTAAATTATTATACGAGTGTGGTGACTAGTAGTTGAACAAGTTTAGCACTCTGTATGTAATTTTTTTACGGAATGTAATTATTTTTGATTGCGGACATATGAGAATCATTTGCATAGAAATATATTTTTGAATGTTTGCAAGCCGGTGGCTGCTGTGGTTTTGTCCGTAATTGGATTTGCAGCCACCTGCCACCGGCATACACATCCCATGTCCCGGTGTCATTTCCATCCGCCACCCCCTTTTAGTTTTTCATCTCAGACGGACCAGCTTCCGCATGTGACCTCTAAGAGGTCCTCCTTTACTCACACCTCCGAGATGTTGGTGTTTCTGCCAGCGAGTAAATAAACCCGCACATGTATTGCCAAGTGTCACCCAAGAACAGACCACGTCATCAGCATCAGCATCAGTATCCCCATCAGTCTGAATGCGAGTGAGTGGCATTCACCGTGTTTGCCACGTAACTTTGTTTACCTTTGCCTTTGCCTTTCCCTTACCTTTGCCCACCTGCTGGGCTTGGATAGGTTGTACTTAGAAAAAAAAACAGCTCACTTTGGTTATTAGTACACTAATTTATAAGGTAGCGCTTGAACCATCAGAAAATACGAAGTAAATAAAATACTAAGTGGTTAACATATAAAAACTTTTTAAAGTTTTGAAAAAATGTTTTTTTAATTTGAATTTTATCAAATTCATTTTTTTGTTAGAGAGGTAAATGACTAATATATTTACTTAAATATTAAAAGTGGCTCCTAATAAGGTCTGTTAAAAAGAATAAAGTTTTGTTTAACTCCAATTGAGTTAGAATTTACTTGCATCCTAAAACTCAATCAAAGAACCTATAAAAAAAGGACCTTTTTTTATGAGTTGAAGGTTTTTAATTTCTTTGTAAATTCAATTACTCTATCTGTGTTAGATACAATTTTTAATAAATATTCCATTTTTAGAAAATATTACCTAAAACCACAACATTTCTAAAAAATTGCAAATAAATGCCTTTAACAAAGAATTTGGCAAAAATAAGTTCCATTGCGTACATTTATCCCAGGGCCAAACTTATGATTGAAATATCAAAATACATTTTTTGTGAGTGTCAGTCACCTTGTCTGGCAGTAGCATGTTTGCCACTAACAAGTAGTCATCACACTGTCCTTGTCAGGATCTTGAGCTGAGACTGAGACTGAGTCTGATTTTGCGGCGGAGTATGTTATACCATTTCTTGCCAGTAAGCGGCTTTTGCTTTGTAAATCTCATTTGACAGCATCTGCGTAATGCATTTCTCGGCGACACGACTACCGAATCAATATGGCCAGAAGCTGCTGTCTGTCGCCCCCACCTTTGTGCCCTTTTCCACATTCCTCTTAAAGCCACCTCAGTTGCCGCTTAATTAGTTGGCATTTGACTTGCTTTAATTTCATTTCAGCAGAGTGCGAGGGCTTCACACACAAGGGTTGCGCATACGACGTGTTGCACCAGGTGAGGATTATGGCGAAGTGTGGCGGAGGAAGGGGGGCTGCACACTTTGCATATTTCTTGGTTGCGGCAACGAATGCCAAAACATTTTGTCAAAGAGCAGGTGGAGATGGGTTTTTCCCTGGCAACACTTTTATCCGCATCGGTTGAGGGTGAATGGGTGGGTGTGGGATGTTGACCGGGCCTGAATGCAGTTTACGTTGCTGCATCGTAAAGTGCAAACAAGGGACAACCTGGCTGGGCGTGGCTACATTGTGCCCAAGTGTAAGTGTGTTAATATGTCAGAGGCAGTGGAGAAAAAGAGGCATGAGCAAGCCGTGAAAGGAAAACGACGAAGGCGAGGCTAGAGCTAGGAGCAGTGAGCCGGCAACTGGTAACTTGTAACCGGTGCTTATGCGCAGACAAAGAAAATTGTTGGCACTTTATTAAAAGAGAAAATGTAGCTAAAAAAGTTAAAAGTTATTTTAGTACAGGTATAAATCGGAACCGTTAATAAAGAAAACTAACTGCGACGCCTATATGTTTTAAAAATAAGTTCTCAACTGATCAGAGTGACAAAGTCTAAAAAGTTTATATATGTATTTATCGTCTCAAAAAACATTCACTTGTAAAACTCTCTTTCCAACTAAATCAGTGTTAAAAATATTCCATTTGCGTTAAAAATATCCACAATATATTTTGTTGAATAAATGTTGTTTAAAAGTAGGTTGAATTCGGGCTAAAATTTCTTTTTTCTGTCGATATCCCCTTTTGAAAACACCGAGTAAGTGTTCATTAAAAAAGTGTTTTATTTTTGTTGATTGTTAAGAGCCCCAATATTTTCTTAGTGCAGCACTCGCATTCACCCGCTAATGGCAGCGACCAGTTCGCATTACGCCTCGTCCTTCGGCGGCGACCGAGCTGAAATGTTAAATGCTTTCAACAAAAGCCAACAAGAGGTGCCGTTTGGCGGGGGGTGGGGCGTGAAAGGGGGCGGAAAGTGGCGGCGAGTGAACTTATGCAATGCAGGGCCAGGCAGAAAACCGCAACTGGAACGGAAGGCGATCTGAGTGGAGCTAAAAAGCTGAGAGCAGCGGCAACCTTCAGCTAAACGATTTCCTCAGCCATTTGCCGTTTTTGGGCCAACTCAATTCCAATTGGTTTTTATTGCAGGAAATCTCTTTCAAACTCAATTTCGACAACTGTCATATGCAAAGCATACATTTTCGGGCATCCTTTTTCCCGTACACACACATACAGCTGTGATCAAAAAAATAAAATTTAAATCAAAGGAACTAAACTAACTACATTTATGATGAAAATTTGCTTAGATTTTTTAATTAGATTAAATTGTTACTTAAATACCACTAAAAAGGTAACGATTTTGTATTTTAATTAACCAAATTAATTTTTGAATTGTACCTCCAAATATATGTTGCCATATATATAACTATTGTTATCATTTTAAAGATATTTTTTAATTTTTATTTTAACAGTAAGTAAAGACAATCATGAAAGACGTCCATAGTTTACAAAAAAAATAAAATGTAATGCTATTATTTTGATCACAGCTGTATATGTATATAAAAGAGAAATGCACACAACTTTACCCGTTGAATTTTCCTAAGAATTGCATTTGCTGAACAAAAATCTAAACATATTTCAGGTGAAAGCTGATATAAAGAGAATCTTGGAAAAGTTTTTATTTGCCCACATTCTTTTTACATTATTTTTAAGAGTGGCTTGTGTTTTATGTATATTTCCTAAATTCGTTTTATTCTGCAAATGACAACTTAATCGCTATGCACATAAAGTTGGGACCTATTCAAACTTCAAATTTTGAAAGCTCATGTTTTCTTTTTCAACTGCAAACAGACTGTTTGCTCTTTTAAATATTTATTAAAGTTTTCTTATGCCAGAAACGCTCCTTTGAAGCTTAATTCACCTGCCACATGCCAAACATTTAATTAACACGCAGCCATTAGTCGAGAACATGAGACTTTGTGGCGTGGCCCATAAGCGGAACAATGAGGGAAAACCAAGAAAAGCTCAACAAAAAAACATAAAAAAACAAGGTAACGCAGAATCATAAAGGCCTGCTCCTTTGAGCGTAATTCTTGGAATTAATTTATGACTCTTCGGTTCAGCCGTTGGCCAACCAACGAATAACAATCAGAATTGCTGTTGATTAAATAAGCGGTCAGTGGTTTTAGAGAAGTGGGGAAAGTGCTGCGAAAAACACATTTAATTTAATTCGCTGCCCCAGGCGTTTTGTTACCTGTCTGTTGAGCTAATGACCCCAGCCGGCTGGTGAAACTCACCTGCACAGTCTTTTTCCTCCCCTTGATTACGTCGGGATCATTGGTTATGTGTGCCTCGATTAGCAGGCGCAGCTTGTCGGTGACCTTGTTCTTGAACTTGCTCAGGTAGGACTCGTGGTCCTCGTTGTCCGGATCGATGGCCTCGCTGGCGGCACTCCCGGGCACCCTGTAAAGTGGCCAGAGCCTTAATTAGCAGGTAATCATAATCACAAATCTCCGGTGGCCAATAATTACATCGCGGTAACCCAACGCGCCTAATGGTTCTGACTAATGTCTACAAAATAACACTGCTGTTTAATTAACTATTCCCTTTCATTATTGATTTAAATGAAATAGTTGAAAGTAATGTAATTCGAGATTATAGAATTTAGTTTTTACATAAATATTATTTAAATATTTTTAAATGTATATAGCAGTATATATTTATAATTCCTTTATGTTTAATATAAAAAGAAGACTGCTGGAAAATGAAAAGTTTTTGATGCTTAAGTAATGTACACCGAGTAAATCACTCATAGCTTTTGAATAAAAAGGTGATTTAGCAGAACCAAAGTTTTAATTTACATAAAGTTTGCCTGAGCTAATAATGCGATTCCCTCTTTCCATTTGGAAGTGGTAAAGGTTATAATCGTGAAACTTTTTTATATGATGAATAAGAATTTTTTTAAGTTCATAGAGTTGTGATATTAATATTTTTAATAGTGAGTAACTTGTTCACTTGTGGAAGCTATTTTATTTATGGACTTGTAAGTTGTAGTTTCGGAAATATATCTTATTAATGCATTTGGAAGACTTACACCAGAGTTGTGTGATTATCGGTGGAGAGGTTCATGGTAAGTTCGTCCTTGATTTTCCGCAGTCGTTCTCCTGCTTCGACATCCCGCTTGCTGCACTGTGCGGCACGTTCTCGAAAAACTGCCAAGATTTTTTCACTAGTAAGAGCTGGAAAAGAAATTTATGAAAAATTATAAATAATAATTCAGATCAAAGGTAGTGTTACTACGTACCCATGGCTTGTGTGACCTCCCTTTCGATCTGCGTGCGTCGAAGTTGCTGAACCCGATCAACAAAATCCCCTGATCGGCCAGATGTATTGGCTCCTTGGACCAGAGATTGCAAGGCTACCTCAAAAAATCTCTGCATCTGCTGCGATTCCACAAGCCAGGCATCCACGGGCAGCAGTCTGGAATAAAGTATGTTAATCAATAACTGGTCGACAAATTCCAGATGTCGAATCAAGTGTTGGCATTTCCATATTTGCTCTGTCCCACCCTTTTCACCGCCCATCCAAATATTTGCCAAAGTTCAACTCCAATTGAGTTGCCAAACAAAACGAAAGTGGCACATGGATAATTTCAGTCAAACATGGGACAATGGAACGGAAACAGAACTTTGACAAATATTGGGGAACTTTGTCCATAACTATTTCGCTTGCAGTTGGAATTTTGGATTACTGCACTAACAAACAACAAAAAAAACCTTCAAAGCGGATTGGCGTCAATTTTTTTAGTGAGCATGTGTAACCAATCAATATTCTCAATAAACGTTTTCTGTTTTTTTGCTTTTAAGAGCAAAGCTTTACATAACATCATATAAATGTTGATGGTACTTTATAGATATTTAGGTAACTCACCGATAATCCTGCTTTAGATGTCGCTTCGATTGAGATTCGTCTTCTTCGTACCACTTGGTTAGTAATGCCTTTTGGTCAGCTGTGATCTGTGGATCGGCCAGGACTGCGGAGAAGATGTCCTCATCCATTTTCGTGGGCAGGAGCTGACGACCGATGCCATCGCCCACAAGCACCATAAAGAAGGCACTCTTCGTGTGGGCGTGGCAAATGTCGATCTCGTGCAGATAGTCATGGATCATATAGGGATCCCGCTCCAACTGATTGATCTCCAAATCGCCAGTGCCAAAGTGCATGTCCACGAACTCCAGCTAAAAAATAAATTATAACAAATTAAACCAACAAATTTCTTTTAAAATCTGTTTTATCTAGTAAATAATAGTCCCTTTTGTATAGGTAAATCATGCTAGTATCAATACATTTTACTCAAAAACACACATTTAAAGTGTTAAAAATATGTCATACGGCACAAAACTTGTTTATTTATTAGACTTTAGAATAGTAAAATATTAAAAATATTATTGCTTTGTTGTAAGGCGAAAAATTGGTTGATTTATTTCACTTTTTATTATTAAATGATTGTTGTTGTTTTCTACAGAACATATTATACAAACTCTTCCATAGTAGATGTTTTAAAATTTCTACTTAGAGTTCTTTAAAAATACTTAAATTGCTATTAAAACTTAAGGAAAGTGTAATCTTATTTGCAGGTAACTAACAAAATAAAAATTGATAGATTATTTAACCGACATCTTTACATTTCCTATATATTTGAACGTGTGGTTGTATATTAACATAATTTTAAAACCCTTAATAAAATCGGATTTTATTGTTCTATATTATTAATTATAAACGAACTTTGTGACATAATACATTTATATAGACTATTCGACTGGTACCCACCTCGATTTGGCGGTCATCGTAGAGGGTCTGCAGCTCGGGACCGACCAGCTCGAGGAGCATGCGGCGCTCCTGGTTGAACTCCTGCTTCAGGCTGGCCACGTAGATCTTGATGAGGAGCGGCTTGGGCAGGCGGGTGTGGGCGGAGGTCACGCCCCTCAGTGCGTTCAGCACGCTCTCGTCGACGGGCGCCGCCATTTACCTGGATTATTGGTTTGTTTTTCCTCGACTGTGCCTGTGATTGAGTTTGTGGTGTGCTTGCGCCTCGCCTGTTTATTTAAGTTGGCCGAAATCAAGCAGCATCGTTGCGGTTTTTCCAGAATCAGCTTCAAGCAGCCCGCAGCTTTGGCACATGTTCAACTTGGGCGGCAAATAAATTTGGTATCTGTATCTGATTCTGAGTTTCTATCTGCCAGCGGTCTCCTCGCACTCCACGCACTCAGTCGGCGGACCCACACGATTCCTGGGCATAGCGGGCCAAAAGTTTATCCTTCTCGATTGAGCTGCAAAAATAAAAATTGAAAAGAGCAAAAATTGTATTTATGGTAAACTTTTTGCATAACCCCAAACGTAATAAAAAACGAAGCCACGCGAGACAGGAAAAGTTTCATCCCATGATCAAGCGTGGGATAAGTCCATATCCATATACTATATACATGTACTGTCAGCCAAAAAAGGGGGGAAAACGCATAAGTTGGCCAAGTCAGCAAGTGTTAACATTTGACAGAGTTGTTGATTGAAACATTTGGGCAGAATATTTGTGGCCTTGCCAAGAAGGAGAGGAAGTTTTGCCCTTAAATTATAAGTTGAAAAAGGAAGGAAGCGTTTTAGCTTTGCAAGTAAGTCAAATTTATTTTATGGTCCACAAGAGTTGCAATTTGCTACAAAGTCAAAGTAATTTTTACGTATTTCTCAGTTTCTTTGTTTGTCATTATTTGCAATAAATATTTTCATTTCCATATCTAAAGGCATAGAACTTTAATATACATGATAAAGGCGTAGGCCAAAAAATGAAGTAGGTTATTGGACAGTAAAAGAGCTGTTTCATAATAAAACATACTTAAAGTAATGATTATTGAACCAAGTATTTGTCAGTTTCTTTGTTTGTCATTATTTTCAATAAATATTTTCATTTCCATATTAAAAGTCATTAGACTTTAATATACATGATAAAAGGATAGACCCAAAAATGAAAAAGGTTATTGGACAGTAAAAGAGCTGTTTCATAATAAAACATACTTAAAGTAAGGATTAACGAACCAAGTATTTTTAAAAACAGTTTTGTATTTGGTTTTATAATGATTTGTTAAAAAAGATAAGCAACCACAGTAATGTTTAACTACAGCGTAAACGATTAAAACTAATTGAGAATACGGGATGGCTGCTTTAAGACAAACACGGACTTGAAAGGGGCCAGTGGGGCATGTCCTGTCGGAATCCTTCTGCTGTGCTGCCACTAATGAAGACCCCTTCCCCTCGTCCCGCAAAGTCCTGTCTGCCGACCGCCAAACAAAATCGATTGCCATTAATTCCGCTTCAATGAGTTGGCTAAATTGCTCGTTAGGACATTGGTGGAGGACAGGACATGGCGTGGTCCTGCGTTTCCTTCAGTCTCAGTTCGTCCTGCCATTTTATATTCCTCCTTTTCGAGGTGCAAGTGCCTTGGGTGTCAGTTTCAATCAGCCTTCGCAGCACACACACTCTCACACGTGTTGCCCTGTCTCAATCTGGGTTATCTCTTAAATATTTGATTCCCAGCGAATTAAGCTAAATGAGCACCTCGCCCGCCCAACAGGCAAGTCAAAGCGTTCCCAATGATGTGAAAATTATACGACCTGGACAAGTGCAAGACCCATTTTAGCTGACCACAGACAAAAAAGTGGTTAAGCCACCGTAACGACAGCCATATATCCGCTTAAAATATCTATTCTTTGCAAGGATTATCATTTTTTTAAGCCATCAAATTTAGAGAACACGTGTTTATTGCGTTGACAAATTATGATGAATATGCTAGCCATTTAAAACATTATGTTTGACTTAAATATGCTTACACTTTGGTGAAAACCCATTAAAAAACAATATGCTTGACAACATTAATTATGTTTGGCTCACTTTTGGTGGAAAACGACAGAATATAAAGCTCCGTCGAAATAAACGACTCGTAATTGGAAATTTGATAGGTCTAGACTAACCAAAAACTCGATTGGATTTCTGGAAAAATAGCAGTGCATTGAAACCACATTTTGTTTGAAAAACTTTATAATTATGGCCTCAATGAGATAAATTACAATGAGGATAAAAACAATTAATAGCAAATATGCTTTGAAAAATGAAATTTTCCTTTTGGTTATTTTTGTCAGTTTATTGAAAATTAAATGCGATTATGTGTGAAAAAATTATTAGTAATTTATTATGATAATAGAATGCTTAGAATTAGGGAAAAGCACACAATTAATAATAAGCTGGTCAAAATTATTATTCTCATTTATAATGATAATGACTTAAATTAATAAGTGACTAATTTGAAATCTTTTAATCTTAGATTTATTTGTGCTTAGCTCAAATTCAATGAATTTCTCTATTAAATACAGTATTTTAACAGCTAGTGAAAAACAAAATGGTGAGGCTTAATTGAAAAGCATTTAATTGCCCAATCATTTATGTCCACTTTAAAGAATTGATAAATTTAGACATTATATACGATTATTAAAAAGATTGATGGATATTTTACACATAATTGTTAGAACATGTTAGTTGAAAGAAATCACATTAAATATATACATTTTTGACTGTAAACCAAGTTCCTTTTGCCTTAAGATTTCCTTTTCAAAAACTACATAAACACTTGTGCGTTGTTATACCCTTGGGTTGTAAAATAATGGGTGAATGCGTGTAATACCATACTTGGACACATGCCTAGTAGCTAGTTCCATGCTTTCATGTTTAACAGACAATTTACCTTGCCTAGGAATGATCGTTATTGGCGATTAACCCCATTATTAGTCAATTTCCGACGTTTTAGGCCGGCGTTTCGTCAAAACTGTCAAATAAGCCAATGTTCTTGGGGCATGGGCTTGGGCGGCTATCGATGGTTTGGTTGGGGGATATTAATGGCTGTTGGCAAACACAATTTCTTCTTGTGTTGCCGTAGCTATTACTCTTCCATTGGGCTGTTGGCTATTGGCCATCGTGGCTACTGTGGGTGTCAAATGGCCCCCATTCCCTAATGGCGATGGCAATGTGTATATCCATGGCTCTGTTGCATTGAATAAGGAATGCCCAGTGACTGCTATCGATGCCATCGATATCCTGTTAAATATTAAGAGGCACAAGGAACCTTTCAACGCCTGCTGCCCAGCGTTTGGAATGAAGAAAGCTTGGTATTGCTGCAATGCAATGTGCATTCCTTTTGCATTTTCTATCAAACCGATACGATGTACATAAAAAGTTACTGAATTTGTAATGCAGCAGGTGAGGTGCCTGCTACATATTTAATTTAATAATTCCTCAAAAGGGAACATAGTATGTATTATTACCATGCTTCTGACTTAAATTATTGTTCCACTTTAGTTTTTCATTTTATATTTACCTAAAATATTCTGAACTACAAAAGGAAGAATAAAATGTCAACTACAACGTGGAAAAATAAGAAATTCAGCATTTAATAAGCCTCTTTAAATCAATTTCATAAAATAACAAGAAAGGAAAGCTAACTTCGGGCGGAGCCGAAGTTGATATACCCCTGCAGAATACTCTGTAGATTATATTCTCCAAAATTATTCATATGATGCATTCTTAATGCTCATAAAAAATCCCAAATTCCTCACTTTAAAAAGACCAAAGTTATGACATTTCCATCCGTTCAGTTATATGGCAGCTATAAGATATAGTCGGCCGATCCTTATGAAATTTGGTAGGTCGGATTGATTGGCCAAATATAAAACCCACAGAAAATCCCAACTTTCTAACTTTACAAACACGAAAGTTATGGCATTTCCGATCAATCAGTTATATGGCAGCTATAGGATATAGTCGGCCGATCCCGGCCGTTCCGACTTATATACTGCGTGCAAAGGAAAGAAGGGTGTGTGCAAAGTTTCAATTCGATAGCTTTAAAACTGAGAGACTAGTTTGCGTAGAAACAGACAGACGGACAGACAGACGGACAGACGGACAGACGGACATGCTTATATCAACTCAGGAGGTGATCCTGATCAAGAATATATATACTTTATAGGGTCGGAGACGTCTCCTTCACTGCGTTGCACACTTTTGACCAAAATTATAATACCCTCTGCAAGGGTATAAAAACTGCAGAGCTATTTTTGTATACATTTAAAAGCTATTGCGGTTACAAATATTTTTCTTTTTTATAAGTTTTTTTTGTAATGTTAATAGCATTATGGCATTTTCCCAAGCCCAGCTATTGGAATATGAATAATTTTGTATATTTATATATTTATTTTTCTTTCTTTTGTGCTACTGGCTTTTCGCAGTTATTCATTGAAAACATTGTAGTTGCAATCACTACAGTGCAGACATATGCTATCCACAATTCAATAAACGCGTTATCGAGCCAATCTCGACTGGATATGACCATATTTTCTTGGCAAGTTTATTAATGGATCCAAGCTCGCCGGCCAAATAGCCCGAACCCCTGACCCTTGGTGATTTGCACAATCAAATGAGTGCTCGGCCCAGCATCCATAAACCAAAATGAAAGTAAAATATTGGCACTGACACGCTAGACATAAATAAATAAATAAATGATAATAAGCTAAAGGCCGCAACAGGCAGGACCAAAATGGAACACAGGACAGGAAAGAGCCCCTGAAGAAGGAAAAAGCCCAGAAAAGGCCTTGGGCAAAGTCAGCAAAATTCCGAAGGAAAAACAAAACACGGAACGGGCTGAACAGAAACGTATGGGGAGGCATTAATAATAAATCCGATGCAGTGTATGTGTGTGTTTTAGCACGCTTAGCTGCTCATTTTTTGTATAAATATTTAAGAGAAAAGAAAATAACAACAGGCTGAATTCCGGGCAGGCCAAAATTAGAACAGTCGCCTTTCATTTGCAAATGCCAGCGTGCAGAAAGTTTTCCCAGCCGTTATTACCTGCATTTGTATGCCAAGGAGAAAACCGAGCCGAAAAGTATGCCACAGAACTTGCTCCTCCTTTTCTGCTTTCTCTTGTCTCGTGCAGCGTCGGAAATAGCGAGAAAGCCGGAGAAAGTAAGCAAATATGCGTGCGTGTGTGTATGGGTATTGAGTGTGTTTCAGTTTTTTTTCGGCACAGCTGGGGCTCTGAATCTGCACAGTGGGTTTTAAAGGCCTTTAAGCCATGTGTCCACACTGCGTATGAGTAATTTTATTGTACTAATAAAGTTTATTAATTAAAGACTGTTTGTTTTGCTTATAGTTAAGAACTAGCATTAGGTATTATAAAAATGGTGGCAATTATATGTGTCTCTTACAAACATTATTAATATTTTAGCCCACACTG